TGGAAAGGGAAGGTAGAGTCAGAGTTTGGCGATTTGAAAGCTCAATTATTTCCAAGCAGAAGGGAAGAAGAAGCTCAACTTTAGGGATTAGGGTTGGGATCGGCGAGGAAGATGAAAAGATACGAAACCGGGGAGTTGAACAGAGTTTAATCAATACTTCGTGGCCTAAGAGAAATTTGGATACCTTTGGATCAGAAGCTTCGACAGTTCTCAAGTTCCAAACTGAGAAACAAGAAAATGGTAAGCAGCTCAAGTTCCAAACGTCAACTCATACAGTAACATTGTTTTGTGTTCAACTAAATTTTTTCTGCAATTGTTAGTTTTCTTATAGATACTCATGCCAGTTCAAAACAAATTTATTCCTAGGTAGTTGCTAATACTTGATACTAATTCATTGCATTGATTTAAATGATGATGTGGGAGGTGAGAAAGATGGTGAAATGGTGAGGGGAGTAGAATTTTTCTTTGATGCAAATAAGATTTTTGTCTTCTGCATTTGTTTCCCAATTGGTCAGTAGGTCTTTCCTTCCCTTTCTCATGGTTGGTTCCCTCCAATTCAGTTTGTTTACTGGACATTTTCCCCATTCCTTTCGCCCACAGTGTAGGCGCTTCTATTATGTGATGCTTACATAGTAACTGCTTTTAAGATTTTACTGGTTGAGAAGCCCAAAATGAATCCATTGAGAAAGTAGCGGAAGTTCAAGATCTGTATGTGCCCTTTTATCTGCTATCAATTTTAGATTGCCATGCAGCTATATTTGCTTCACTTGAAGTCTGGACATAATCGCTCAGGCGGGCAACCATGTGTTTTGATATGGTTTATCCGACATTGCCTTTAGATGTTGTGCAGGCTCCCAGCCTGTATTTCTGAGAAGAATGACTCTCTAAGGTATCATATTACTGAGATCTCCTGTGTTTAGAAGCACGACATTGTTGCTGGGAATAAGAGCCATCAGTGGCCTGCAATTTCAAAGTTATGTGTATCTTGCATTATTCGATGTAGTATGTGTATTGCATTTTCTATGTAATTGATGCTTTACTGCATGTCTATAACTCGAAGAGATTGAGTGTCCAACTTTATACATGTTTGTGCCCTTTAAAAAGTGCCAACTGAAATTGCTCATGTAGGTCCATGACCGTGTTGCTGGAGGAAAGGTCCTAATTCCAACATTTTCACTTGGAAGAGCTCAGGTGCTAATGTAATTGGAACTCTCAATGATCTTACGTTATGTCCTTCTAATATTTGGAGTTTACTCGATATAATGTGATTTGTGGAAATGATCACACTCATGTTGCTGACTCTGATTACTTTAGTGGAGAAAGAATGAAACAGATCTCTAAAGTTCTTCCTTCTAATTGATTGTGAGTCACAATTCCAACCCATGAGAATTAACCATCTTTTCTCATTTGCGTGTTTCGGTTGGTAGATGAAATTTTTCAAGAAAACTACCCTTCCGGTTCACTGCATGGCGAAGCCCTAAATACAGGGTCAAGAATTCCTTTCAGTCTGTTCTTTTTCTTCATATTTTATTCTTAGTTCGTTAATTTAATCATGATGGAGTACTTATACTGCAGGCAAGAGAGATCACCACCGTAATGTTTGCATCGTTCGTGTTTCAGTGCATGGGACAAATCTTGCAGCTGCTGTCATGTGTGGAATGAAAACTTCTGCTGTTGGAACTGTTGCGAAGGGAAACATCAACATAGAATAGTTCAGGCAGGCTGCTGAAGCAAATAGCGCTAACATGTCTGCACTCATGGTATTGTTTCATGTTAAAAAGCTTCGAGTTTGACCAAACTCTGTTGTGTGGTTGCAGGAATTGTGAACTGAAAAGAAGATGGAAATAATGATGATGCTCTACAAGGAGGAAGCCCACCAATGATGATGAGCTGCATCAGATTCAGAGATCAATTTCCATACAGTTTTCAATTGCTTTTAACCTCTTCAAGAGAGAAGATCCCACTTCCGTGTTGGATTGCGTCAGGTTTGTGTAATAACACTTTCTTTCTTCATTCATTATTTCTTAAAGGATACAAGTAATGCTTAGAATGAGCTCACATGCAGTCTATTCTTTCTGAATGGGGGAACTACATTTGGACATTTATGCTGAACGAATTCAGAGAGAATGCAAGGTAATGCCATTCATTTGTTTTCTCCTGGTATTTCCTTTTCTTTTGATTGTATGCAGAAGTACATTCACTTCTAATATGTGTTTCTTGACGCTTGCCCGTGATCTGCTTGACTTGACTGAGCTCGAGGTAGGAAGAATTACACAAGATCACTCTTAACCGAAGACAATTCAGACAGCCACCACGATGCAGCTCCATCAACCTCTTCGACGAAGAAGGCAATCTGAAGCTACAGATACGTATCGAGTTTGGTCAATCCATTTGTCTCCAAAAATCCATTCAGAAGGTCATTTTTATTCTGTTTCAGTTACTTTGCAGTCAGTATCTCGCTCTTTTCCTCCGACGGCGGATTCTGCAGATAACCAGGAATGGCAGTAGCAACACAGTAGCAACGGTAGAAAGATACAACATTAACCAAGTCTGAGGAAGCTACCACAACTAAGAAAAACACTTATATTAATGTCTTCAATAGTGATCTGTGAAATAAGTACACGACATACTTGGTAGACATTTCCTAGCTGACTTTGTTTGGGTAAGTATGAATATGGTAAGGGTTGTTTACATGGCAAAGCACAAGAAGTTATAGATGTTAGGTTTCTGGATTATTTACATTTTGCCTTGAAAGCTAAACAATTTGTGCAAGTTAGTAGGGATCTGTTGCCAAATTGCTTGATATGGGAAGTCTTCATGTTCAATCTCCGAGTGTTTCTCTTTTAGCAAATGACTATACAGAGAGTTGAAACTGAACATATGTTGTGTCGTCGTTGATATGCTGCTTTTTTTACTAACCTTTCTGCATATAGGGTTCGGGAAAGTAAAGGAAAGTCATACAGAATGCCCTTGAAGCTTTGCGGCTGCTACTGCTGTGCCAAGTCCTGCTCCACTACTTTCAAGGGATACCACTGCTACTTGGAATGTAAACAAAAGTAAATGGTTAGATGTACTCAGTTGAACGATACCAATCGCTCTTATAAGTGGTTCTGTTTGGCAGTAGGATGACTTCCTTCTTTGTATTAGCCCAAGTTTTAGCCTGCCCATCGATCCTTTTCCCTGTATTCTTCGTACTCTTTTATTATTTAATTTCTAACTATTTTCTGTTTCTGCTATACTGCTTTTAAAAGATGCTGAACAAAATTGAACATGTAATTGCAAGATACTCCCTGCGGCGTAGCCGTGGGTATTGTTTCTAGTTGAACAAAAAATCAAGTTGTCTCCCCACCATCCTTTGCAGACGGACACGGGTATATAGAGGAAAATCATGGTTTTTATTGTGGTGATAGGATTTTGTATTTAAAGCCAAAATATTGGCTAAGTAAGTGGCGGCAAATGTTTGTTTACCCTAAAAGTTAATTTTGTACCACATCGGTTAAAACAAGGAATTCAATGGTTTTATAAAGCCAACTTAATTATAATAGTATAAATCAATTAAGTGGGTCACGTGGGTTGGGTTTTTGGCCCATTACCGCATGTCACCATGCGCGCCACTGTAACCCGATTTGACTAAGTATTGGAGCCACCCCCATGACGTGGTGATGGGGATGGAGACCCGATAAAATTTTGCTAAGTATGGAAGATGATAGAGGTGGTCAGGGCCCCCCATGGTATGATCAGGGGGATCAATGGGTCACTAACGTCAATAATGGCCAAGGGTGGTCATCAGCATACCCCGATGGTATAATAAGGGGTGATCATTTGGGGTGAAATTTGACTAAGTCCGGAACCAACAAGAAAAGGACGAGGAGGACCCCAGATGTGCGATTTTTGACCTGTGTGATCCAAACACCCACCCACACGTAACAAGGGGGTCATCACGCCTTCTTCGTTTTATCAACTGGCATAACTATCAAGGTGAGGGGGCCAAGACTGAAGAGGGTACAAGTACAACCACCAAAGGCAGGACATAATCGAAGCAGTTGAGAGGATAATCGTCACTCCACGTCAGCATAGCAGTTTCTCGAGGCAGTTACTTCTGGTGGCTATAAATAGGAGGTGAAGATGACGGAGAAAGGGTTCGCCAAATTCACACCAGACAACACAATGTCAAATTGTATCCGTTTATCTTTTCCTCTGCAAATTTAGCCATAGTTGTAGTTCTGGAACTCTCACTAAACCTCCATAGGAGTAGAGTTAATGTAATTTAGTTTGCCTCATAGATCATCAAGAACATCGAACACCCTTGTTTGAACTATGTTCAAAGAGGTGTGGACCGTGTTTGTTAATCGTTTGCTTGGAAGTCAAAAGTGCATTCAATTATCGTCCATCTTGATTTTCTCGTTGGGAAAACAGTCACGGATTGAGTTGAGTAATATCATGTGACGAGTTGACTTTTATTTTCCTCTGGTTAAATTTGGGTGACTTGGCATTTTCGTAAACCGTGTAATAAAAAAAATGATGGCCTTAACATAGTCTAACGGAAGTGAACAATCAACGACAAATATTGGAATGTTGGATTAATTAAACTGACCAATAAACGGAATGAGGGAAGCCCCAATGGAAAAATATTGGAAGGGAAAATTACTTCGGAAATGAACTTGTTCCAAGCAACATTAGTAATCTCAACAACCAAATATGTTATTTTACCATATAGGAATGTGAGTGATCATGTGAATTAATATGTATGTTACTGAATTTTTGTTTGCCAATGTATTCGCTAGTTTGTCTCAACAACCAAATATGTTATTTAACCATATAGGAATGCGAGTGATCATGTGAATTAATATGTATGTTACTGAATTTTTGTTTGCCAATGTATTCCCTAGTTTGGATTCGGCGAAACCCGATCCAATCCGACCCATCCCCTAAACTGAAAGGGCCAACTAGTTGGACCCATCAGACAATTGAAGCCAAAGCCTAGACAAAATTCGGCTCTCGTACAAAGTTTGCATCTGGCGATAGAAACGAGACGGCCCAGCCCAATACCGGATCCAAGTTCAATATCTAGGGTTTAAAACAACCGTTTCAATCAGTTCCTCCGACCGCCACTAGACAGCAACATTTCAGTTTCGCCTGCTCTCGAAGTCAGTCGGGAAGGGGATCAAAATCGAAGGTAGAAAAAGGAAGACGAAGAAGAAGAACACCGAAGTAGTTTCGTCGGCGCGTCTCGTGCGCCAGGAATCGTTGCAGCCTTCATTACAAGTCTACAGGTATCTCTGAATTTACGAAGGCTTCGCTGTAATAAGCTGCTTGGCCAAAACATGTTCGAGGCCCTAGCTCGTCGGTTCGCTGCTGAAATAGAACTCTCGGATGAGCTATTGTACTCCGAATACCAGATCGATGCTCTGTTTTCATTTTTGCCAGTGTGGGAAAGCTTTCTATGAAGCGATCTATTGCTGGGTATCTTGTGGGCTAACATGAATCTTGGTAATCTAATGGCTAGGTGGTCTTATGAGGAGGTACAGCCCGCAGTACTATAGCCCTCCAAGGAGGGCATATGGAGGTCGACCGAGGAGTCCACCTAGGAGAGGTTATGGTGGTGGAGGAGGAGGAGGCGGTGGAGGTGGAGGCTATGGTAGGCGAAAGGACAACCAAGGCAGCCTCTTGGTCCGTAACATTCCTCTTGATTGCGGGTGAGTTTTACTTTCGAGCTAATGATGGTTTTGGAGGCCTTGTTTGAGAGTCATTTTGCTCATTTGTTGGAGTTGTTGGGTGTTTTGCAGCCAAGAAGAGCTTAAGGCTGCATTTCAGCGTTTTGGGGCTCTAAGGGATGTTTACATCCCAAAGGACTTTCACACAGGGTGAGTTTTTACGATGGTGACATTGCTGGTTTTTTGCTGGTTTTCTCTCTCAGTTGGATCCATTGCAAACAGGTTTAAATGGTTCGTTTATTTTATCATCTTAACGGATAGAGGAAAGGTCAACTAAGTAAATCCATGGTGTAGCATGTTCTGAGTCAGAGAACCAACAACAATCTGTTAAAATCGTTCAAAACAAAGTTGAAAACAGTTATAAAAATTACTCCTGGTATTTAGCTGGATTTGGGTCAATCCTATGGCGATGCATATAATTTTTGGTCATGCAAGCTAGTCGGTGTCAAGTCTGGTGTTGAGTAATAAACTACGAAAACTCTCACATGCAATGTTAGTAGTGGGTGGATGCTTTTGATCACTGTTGGACTGCTGTAGGCAGTTTCTTGCATCTCTTATGCGTGTACTACTCATGAAAATTTCTTGAAGCAATGATTTTGCTCATTATTTTCATTTTCATGGTGCACTGGATTATAAATGGTTTGTCAGGGGGGTTGTTGGTTTGAAGTAAAATCAAGACCAAGCCCCACAAATGTTGAAGACCTTCTGTTAAACATTACCTAACATATTGGTCTCAAGTCTCAACTCAAGATAATGTCGAAATGAAGAATGTGCCTTTATGAAGAGAAATTTTGTAATTACCCAACAATAGAGGTTTGATGAGCAAAGCGGATTTATTCTTGGCCGTCTGAAGACGACTTGAAGAGATTTAGATTGGCAACATTGGTCGAAGGCCAGGTCATCATGTATTTACCAGTATTTGAAGAAAATATCAGTGACTTGCATCTTTTCAAGTTGGTCGAAGTGCATCTTGTATTTACCAGCATTTGAAGAAAATACCAGTGACTTGCATCTTTTCAAGTTGGCTTTGGTACTTGACTTTTAAGGAAGAGGTCAGCCACTATCCTGCTTTTATGTGAATTCAGTGTCATCATATTTCTAAGTGCACTGGAGGCAGAAGAAAGGTATACTAACAACTAAATGCTTGAGTTATGGATTAGGAATCTCATTTTAGGAAGTTCACTTATCATCATTAGATAAATCTTGCTTGGTTGTGCATAAACTCTCTAGCCTTATAATTCTATTTTGTTGCTCTTTTTACAGGGAACCTCGAGGCTTTGCATTTGTGCAATTTGTGGATTCATATGATTCCCTTGAAGCTCAGCGTCGCATGAATGGACAAATATTTGCTGGCAGGGAGATTACTGTTGTGGTTGCAGCAGAGTCCAGGAAAAGGCCGGAGGATATGCGACATAGAACTCGGACTAGGTAACCATGATCTCCTGCAAGCATATTACTTTCTGACAAGTGGTATTCTGTCTGATTCATCCAATTTTCGAAACATCTTGCAGGGGAGGGGGCCGCGGGGAGAGATCATCTTATTATGGTATATATGCCGGTACCTTCTTTAGTTGTATTCCCCAAAAGCTGGGGTTTGAATCTAATCCTGCCTCACAATCTTTCTGCATCGTCTATCTTGTGCTGCATGCCACTGTGTTAAGATATTCGCCCACAGGGTAGTTATTTATTCATGTCAAATAATCGTTGGCATAATTTCAGGGCGCTCTCGATCTCGTTCGCTGTCTCGGTCACGCTCTCCTCGCCATCACGGATCAAGATCTAGATACCGTTCAAGGTTGGCAACTCTTGTAGTCACATATAGCTCTCCTCTGCAAATTGAACAGATTATCTGGGATATAAACATGTTTCTGCAACTTGTGTTTAGGTCCTACTCTCCCCCTGCTCCAAGAAACCGTAGAGACTACTCGCCTTCCCCAGGCAGGAGGCACCCTAATCCTCCAGTTCGCTCTCCATCTCCCAGAGGTCCTCCTCCTCCTGAACGAGATGGTGGCCGCGACCGGCTATCATATTCCCCTCAGGGTTATGGCAACCCTGACAATCTAGACAATAAGGGAAACGGCTATACAGAGTAAGTGGATGCTGGGTGGTGGGTTCTTCCTTTTTTCTGTTCTTTGAAATAACACCCAAACCCCATTTTCCGCTCCAGGAAACATGTTCATGGGTTGGAGGACGAAAGAGCTTGGAGGAGGCCAGCAGCTTCACCTGGAAGAAGGCCTCCCGTCGCGGCCATTTCGAGATCCCCATCAGGCTCTAGATCAAGGTCTCCCAACCCGTCTCCTGGCCGCCGCCACGGCAGATGATTGATGATCTAATCTGGCACCATCCATCATCATCATCATCTAAAATCACTGTTCTTGCATTGTATGAAAAAAAGGAATCGAGTAGAAACGGCTGTTGGATGGTTTTCGTTGTTTGACGTGGTGGATTGTTCTCTCTGTCGCACTCATGAACTCTCTGTTTCTGTCTCTCTGGCAATTCAATAGGTTCATGGCTTTTATTTTTTATTATTCCGATTACAAATTAGCCACGCCGTTGGAACCACGCTATCCAACGACGTGTTGTTTCTTTGTCCTACATAAGAATGTTTACATTGATGTTAGGAAATGCTAAGAGTGACAGGTGGCCGTTGATTCCTGCGTTTGACAAGCGTTGTTTCCAGTGGCGCTTCGTCGATCTCTTCTCCACGGTAAGCCCTGGCGGCCATCCGTGTGAACGAGGAGGTATCGTGACGTGGAAGTCTGTTGTCACCGGCGGCGGCAGGGGATGGAAACTGGGAGAAAGGGACAAACTGCTGACTTGCCCAGCAAGTTAACTTGGTAATCTTGTGAAATCAAATAATAATAATAATAATAACTACCGTGACGTGATTCTGAAAGGAAGGTCGTTGTTTCCAAGGGTGGAAATTTGTCAATCTTCTGTGATAGAAGCATTCTGCTTAGTGTCAAGTCTATCCTTAATTACTGTCCGTCCGATGATATCAGCGGTGGTCGGAGGTGGCACGTTTCCATTTTTATTCATTCCATAAACTACTTTTTTTTTAATTTTATTTTATTTAAGTGAAGATGGGGGCATTTTTAGGGGTTCTCATTTTGTGGGGACGCTTTGCTGGTTCGTTGTTTCGGCGACCGCCTTAATTAAAAAAAATGCGACTTTATTTCTGCCTTTGTAACATCAATCGGCAGCCAAGACAAGAGGGAAAAAATTAAATAATAATAATAATAGGAGGAAAAAGATTTTTTTTATTTATTTACTTTCTTTCTTGCATAAGAATTTGGCTTCTGGAAACTGTGACAATACACTACTGCCGCTGCGTCTATCCTGTTTCGCTCCTTTTCTTCTTCCCCTGCCTGCCATATCCTGTTTCTCTTCTTCTTCTTCCCATTGCGCCATTATTGTTGCAGCCTTTTCGTTGCGGCCGCCTTCTTCTTGCTTGAGGTTCTCTTTCTTCCTCCTTTTCATTTGGATTCCCTGTTCTGTTTGTTGCTGATGTTGATTGTACCCTTTTTCAGCTGGTGTTACTTAGTTTCCTCTGTAATTTTCTCATTTGGGTTGTGTTCATTTCCTCTACTTCTCACTCAGGGCTTGTGGATCGTAGCTGCTACAACTGGTCATTAAGCAATCGAAGATATTCCCGCCTTCGTTCATGGTTTGTATTACTTCCCCTTTTCATTTCTGATCTTGGGTTCTGTTTTCGTCTCAGTCCTGTATAGGGTTTGAGTTTGTTTCTTTCATTGTTTGTGGGATGTAGTGTAGTGTTGAAATTTGACTGTGGCGGTTTTTGATGTTTTTTTGTTCTTGTTGCAGGTGAGTCCAATCGACCACCAAATGGCCGGCGGCGGCGGCGGCCACAAGGACCTAGGGCCGGCGTGGTTGAAACCAATGCTGAGAGCGAGCTACTTCCACCCCTGCCCTTTCCATGGCGATTCCAACAAGAGCGAGTGCAACATGTTCTGTTTGGACTGTACCGGGAGTGCTCTCTGCTCTTATTGTTTGATCAATCACAGAGACCACCGTATTGTTCAGGTTTGGTGATGAATTGATGATAATGTGTTCTACCCTTTCTTTCTTTCCCTAGTTGTTGAGCCTGGGGATTTGATTGATTGTAGAACTAATGGGTGTGGGGTGGTTCTTTTTCCCACTTCTATTTGCTCCTGCAGATTCGGCGATCTTCGTACCATAACGTGGTGAGAGTGAACGAGATACAGAAGTACATAGACATTGCCTGCGTCCAGACCTACATTATCAACAGTGCGAAGATTGTGTTCTTGAACGAGAGGCCGCAGCCTAGGCCAGGAAAAGGGGTTACCAACACTTGCGAGATATGTTGCAGGAGCCTCCTCGATTCCTTCCGGTTCTGCTCTCTCGGCTGCAAGGTTGGTTCCCAATCACCATCAATTCTTTCCCCATTCTTTTGATTCATCTTCAGATTGTTCTTCTTCCCATGCTAAATAATGAAATGTGGTACCTATCCTGTTGTGTCAGCTGGGAGCCATGAAGCGAGGAGATGGAACCCTCACATTCTCGCTTCTGAATAAGCACAACAACAGAGATCACTTCCTCGGAGGGTTCGACTCTGATGACTACGATGACGATGAATCATCCACTCCCAAGAAGATTCGGAGGACGAATTTCTTCAATCGCATGATGGACAGGCTATCCATCCACTCTTTCAACAGCGGCGATGGAAGAGACAGCTCAGGTGATGAAGCTGCAACCAACATTTCCCCGTCGACTCCCCCCATCTTCAATCATCGCAATGCCAGGAGGAGGAAGGGCATACCTCATCGCGCCCCATTTTGACAGCATTCCTCCAATATGATTGGAAGATAAAACCACAGGGAGGAGGGTTGTTTCCATGCAGCACTTGGTAGGAGTGTGTAGTGAAGCAGTAACCTTATACACAGATAAATACATATTTATACATACGGTAGGAGTTGGTTGGTATAGTTTGCTTTCTGGGTTGTATATAATATATTCAGCTAGCAAGGGTAGTAGTGATGATGCTCTGATAATTATGAGCTGGTGGTCAGTCTTGTTATATGCAGTCTCTTTTCCCTTTTGTGATACAAGTTACTAGGGTATTGTAGGAATGATGGGTAGTAAGTAACCCAGTACTGAGAACTGTATATATGTATAATGCAGGTATAGATGTTTGGTTGATGTGTATACCAATACAGGCAGCTTTGTGTAGAAGCTTATGGGATACTTCTCTGTACATGTACACTTGTGTAACAAGTAACACCAGGTAGTCTTTGTACAGGAAAGCAGTGAATGATATTTCACAGCTTGGTTAGGTGTCATTGTCTTATTGGGTATCGATGGATTAGGTTAGAATGTGATGTTGCTATGGTATTAATGATGTTTGTGGTGCGTTTAAGACATGGAATTAGGAGGACTAATTGTGGTTTTCTTTTGAGGTTGTGCTAGAAATGGTTGCTGTTTGTTGATCCTGTACTGGTCAGGTCATACTGGTCAGGACTTATTATGATCTATTGCTATCTGTAGTGCCAATGAATGCTGCTGTTAACTATGCATACTCGTTATCCGACCCTTGACCTCGATCCGGGTTGGTTTTGTTGTGGCCTTTGGTTTGAGGTTCGTTGAGAATTTTGACGATCAAGTATAAATGCGTCGAGAGTTACCACGATGAGATTAGGTGATATTAGGTATTAGCTTACTATCGTCTGTGGCCTCTTCTCCCTCCCAAGCCTTTGTCTTCGTCGAAGTCCTATTATTGACAGCTTTTTTCGACATTATTCCATTCCATGGTGGATAAGGATTGGAGAGGAAGCGTGGGGGCTGCAAATTCCTGGGGGGGAAAAAGTGAGTGATTGAGAACTAAGAAAACAACCCTTCTTCCCTACTTCAGATTAACACCTTGTAATGCAGATAAAATCGCATCATGAATATATTTAAATAAAAAAAAAACAAAAAAATGAAAGAAGTGTTTGGAATGCTCGGGAGGGCAACCCTACCATAAGAAAATGACTTGACCCCTGGCTCCATTATCGTAATCATATCCTAATTAGGCTTTTCCCCACCTCTCTTCTGCTTCTTCACTTCCATGTACGAATCGAAAATAAGCAAGTGATAGTGAATTAATATATTTTATTAGGTGTATCATTAATTTAGAGGCAGAAATAAAGCAACCGCACGTATTTTAATTAGACGTAACTTAATCGTACAGTATTTTACTAATTATAGTTGGATTTCATAGCTTGAAAAGAATGAAGAGTAGTACGATGTGAGGTCTATCTACAAGCAATAATTATTGTTTTGTTTCATTGGTATCTTCGATCAATAAGTGTTAGAAGGGCAAATGTCTTTATCAGATTCATTATTTCGCCCCCTCTCATTTGGATCTTTCTAAACCTAACATTGATGCATGATAGGTAAGTATTGTTTCTAACATATTTGTTTTCGTAGGTCTTAACCCTTAATCTTACTTTTATCATTGGATAAGGGATCTTATTTAATATGAGAATTAGTGATTTGTATTAAAATATTAAATTTAATACCAAATTATCCGGATAAAATTAAACTCAGATGATTGATAACTTCTTCTAAACAATGTTGATCCACCGTTTATTTGATATTAAAATTGAATAATTTTCCTTGAAATATGACAATGACAAATGAAGTCGAAAAGGAGTAAAATAACAGGGAGGGGAATATGATACTGATGGGGAGAATAAAGCCATCAATCCATTACCAATAGTACTGATAACCATAACCCACCTTATGCTTTACTATCCCCACTCCTCCTCCATTCACCACCACCTTCCATATATATCTGAAAAATTAAACCTAATCAAGCATTACCCATTTTAATAACATATGTGTACACAATGATGTTTAGTTCATGTCCTACCAATCCAATGTCGCATAATCAAGGAGTTGATCGATCGAGTTGAACGATCCTGATGCATAGCTTCAGAAGCAGGAAGTTGTTGGTGCAAAACACATTGGGATGGATGATCTGTTCTAACGTTTATCGTTGAGGGTGTATGTGATTCAACAAATCATATTGTTTGCTGACAAGACTTAAATCAAGGTAATAAGTCGACAACAGCAAGAAGAGCTAGTAGGCGAGTTGTTGAATCGCTTGGCAACATGGTGTGCCTTGTGATCAGTAGTGATTTGGTTTATCCATTTTACCTACAAATTTGGATCCCTAAACATTAATTAACTAATCAAAGATAAAAAAAAAAAAAAAAAAACGTTATATTCGAATAGTTTTGAGAAGGATGGGATGAGTGAGAATGAGCAGGAAGGAGTGGAAGAACAAGTTGTGTTTGTGTAATGTACTTGTGGGTCTTACCTGACTCCTGAGTGTGGATCATGATTAGACAATCCATTAATAAAGTAAATTGACGGGTAAAGCAGTTTTAATAAATCAGTTAAGTTGATGGACCTTTCAGCCCAAAGGCCCACCACGACACACGGGAAGTCTCTGGCACCGCACGTCCCACGAATCGGGGCCCACAGGTCGAGCCCACCACATCCTACTTTACCTTACAGAGCCGCCGTTGGCCGTTGCGGCCCTCAGCGGCTCAGCCAGCGGGCTTAGGGATAGGGAGGAAGAAGCGGGAGATTATCCTCACGTTGATATTATTTGTTGTTGGGCCTTTGGGGGAAGGAAAAGTGTTTTCATATGTTTGGGCTCTTAGGTTTGGGTTAACATGAGAAGATTAGAGAAATTTGGGCTTTTGATATGACTTGTAGGCCTTGGTATGGATTCTAGACGAATCACTCAAAGCCCTTCAACGAATTTTGATATACCATACCACTAGTTTTGGTCCTACTTTTGGATAATGGTATAGGGTTTTTTCCTAATATTAAGGTACTATTTAAGTATTAGAATCTGAGATCTCTAGGTTTTTAGCTAGTGATATTATCACTAAATCAATTTTTTGTTTGTTACCATACCACTAGTTTTTGGTATTCTCGTTGATGGGTTGTTTGTTACTTTGTTTGGAAATCAAGAAGCCATTGTTTGGTTATATTCTTTTATATATATATATGGTTATGTCTTCGGTGCACTCACTTTATTTGGTGCATTCAATGCACCCGCCTCATAATCGTCATTCTAAGCAGGTGGTTCATGTGAAAACGATGTCAATCATCCCTTGTAGTATGATGAACAAGAACCACATGAATTTGTACAAAAATTATTCAAGATTCACTTTAATTTGAATAATTCAGGGTTTAGAAATTTAGGGTTAGGGTTAGAGTTTACAATTTGGGATTTTGGGTTTAGATTCAAAATTGAATGTTAATAGGTTAGGGTAATGGGTTGATTAGTTGTGATTCTGTGTTATATCATCATATAAGACTAATGTTATCCATTAAATTTCAAAATTTGATGTATTATGACCACTTTTAGAGGTGGGTGCACTGAATGCACCAAAAAAAGTGAGTGCACCGAAGTAGCCACCATATATATGGATTTCATTCAACACCAGACATAGTACCGAGATACCCTAACAATTATTTCACAAGTAGTTTACACAGGAAAGGATCCGAAATTGAAAAATCATGTGGAAGTGGAAGATGTCACTGCCCTGGTCCTCCAGGCTCTTATAAATCTTACGTGATGAAATTGTACATAAACTTTAAATTAGTAGAGTTAACAAAATTTTCAAATTTATCAACTTCAACACTAAACCGGCTAAAACTAACATAATTTATTATTTGAAAGACTGAAACTATATATGGATTCTAGACAAACACTATTGTCATAACTGTATCCATTCAAATTCTCTCAATTTACATCCCACCCATTTGACCATTTCAATATATCTGCACCAAACCGGGTTAATGACACAAATATTGTGTTTTTTTTTAATTGCCACAAATATTGCGGATTGAAAAGAATTGACACAAATATTGTGTTTTTTAGTAAGGTTTGGGGCGGGACCACCAGAGACTCAGGCGGGGCTGATGTTTTACCCAGTTCTGGGCGCTGGCGCCCCAGTCCCAAGCGGCCCGCCTCAGTTATATTTTTACCTAGTCTTAAGCGTTGGCGCCCAATTCTCCAGCGACAGCGCCCCACCCTTTGTTTTTTTAAAATACCGAACCTCGGGCCCCTCCCACCTTATCTCCTCTTCTTCTTCCTTCCTCTTCTTCACTCCTCCACACCACACACACCCCCCCCCCCCCCCCCCACACCCCCCGAACCGGAGAGAAGCCCAGCCGCCGCCGCTCCCGCTGCCGCCCATGACTGAGGCGCCGTCGCCGCAGAATCAGGCGCCGCTGCCGAGTGGAGCGCCGCCGCCGAAGACTGAAGCGCCGCCGCGGGAGACTGAAGTGCCGCCGCGGGAGACAGAAGCGCCACCGCCCGAGATGTCCTCCAACGAAAAACCAGTCGCCGCCGGCAGAGGCAGAGAGAGAGGCCGGCGAGGTCGTGGTGGAATCGGCGGCCTTTTGCGCGCTCTCGTCGGCGGCTTGATTTCTTTTTTAATGTTCTGTGTTTTTTTTTAATGTTTTGTTGCTTTGTTTTTGCAGTTCCTAGGCTTATGGATCCTTATTCGATGAGATTACCGCCGACAACAATTGATCCAAGTCCGGTCGATCCGACACTTCTTTGGGGACATGGCCAACATCGTATCGACTCTGTTTGGACATACGAGGTAAGTATTTGATAATTATTCATGTAAAGTTAATTAGCTAATTAGATTATTTTAGTTGGTGAACTGAACTGTTAGGTGAAATTAGTATAATTTGGAATTAGTATAATTTTATGTTAGATAAGACAGATTAGAATTTATTAGGTGAAATTAGAATTATTACGAATGAAAATGAATTCATATAAGTTTTGTGCACTCTAGGCTGGTGATCGATCTTACCATGTTCGAGGTACGACCATTTTAGTACCTTACCATGAGCTTTATTGGCCCTATCTCGAAGAGGCAGGCTTGTTAAGTGTCATGCCCCTAGTCCATATGAACCCCGATGCGAGTTTGATTACTACGCTTGTAGAGCGGTGGCAACCCAAGACGTCGACCTTCCATCTACTGTGTGGTGAGATCACGATCACGTTAGAGGACGTTGTTACACTGTCCGGTCTGGCGATCGACGGTGATGCCGTCGTAGTTGATATACCGGATGAGGAGTGGTCGACGATCTGTTTGAGACTGTTAGGACGGGTTCCGGCTGATCTTGTAGGCGGTGTCGCTGTTGTTAGGATTGTTTGGCTGAGGGTTGAATTCAATCATCTGCCGGAAAATGCATCACAGGAGGTTATAGAGCAGTTTGCACGAGCTTATGCTCTATCTCTGATTGGAGGTGTACTTTTCCCGGATCGGTCTGGAGGTACGGTGCAGCTACAGTACCTACTTCTGATTGAGGATTGGCAAAGAGCTGGACGGTTCGCCTGGGGAGCTGCTGTTTTATCCTACCTGTACCGTGAGATGGGTAGGTCGACTTTGCACATTACGCATACCGGCACTTCTCTTAGCGGTAACCTTGGTGGATGGGTCGCCCTACTGTAGTTCTGGGCGTGGGAGCGATTCCCACATCTGACACCTCCAGATTCAGAGACGAGGGCACATGCCACCGAGGATGCATCCCCACGTGGTCTTCTATGGCTTTCGGCCAACAGTCGTCAGTATGGTGACCAGCTATTCCAGTACAAGCTGTGGTTTGACGCGATGGACACCGTGGTGGTTAGTATATAACATCCATTTTATAGAATAGTTTTCATTTGTTTTATTTATTTAGATTTAGGGATAATAACGTTAATTTTTTTTATGTAGTGGCAACCTTACCTTGAGAGAGCACTTCATCTCAGAGGTAGTGTGATACAGTCTGAGATATTTCGAGCAGTAGTGCCACTTCTGCTTTTCATCGGTGATGTGGCATCATCCAGACCGCGTGCTCCGGCAGTTTGGCATGAGGCAGCATGAGCCTCATCCGCCACATCCTCAGGCTGAGGTTAGGTTTTTTCTTCGCCAGGCTACTCGTGGGCCATCGCGTGGGCAGCAGTTGGTACACGCCTCCAGAGAGTCGCTTGCTTTATGGAACCGTCGACACGAGTTTGTAGCGACGGCTCCATACACTGATGAGGAGTTAGCCTACCACTCGGAGCATATGGAGTGTATAGAGATGTCACCAGACGTTCTGGCACACGGAGAGGAGCTGCAGCAGAGGCATTGGTTAGTTATTTGATTTATTTGCTTAATTTGTTGTTAACTGTGTGAAATATCTGACATTTTGTTGGTGTTTTTTAGTACGACACTATCGAGCATGATGAGGTGAGTTTGCGTGACGGTGTACGAGCTGGAGGGCTGACCCCTGACCAGTGTGAGGACTTGGCCAACTTTATGGCATCCGGGGTTGCTACTCTAGGGTTTGAGCAGCGTAGATACCCTGATCTCACAGTACCTGTACAACCCCATTATGAGGAGCCCGTCATGACTGCCTGGCCAGAGCGTACTGATCCGACACCGGGCTGGGTCATCCCAGAGCCACAGTTCAGACAGGAGCATAGGCCACGTAGACAGCGACGTGAGCATCGTGATGCACCTAACCCATTTCGGGTTTCAGATCGACAGCGAGCACAGCCCATCCGGCCTACATCGAGGAGCTTCCAGTTTAATCCGCTTCGGTTGCAGTTTCAGTCAGATCCTTCCTCGAGCTTTCAGCCGCCGCGACGACAGCAGTTTCAGTCAGATCCATCTTCGAGCTTTCAGCCACCGCGACGGCAGCAGTTTCAGTCAGATCCGTCTTCGAGCTTCTATCAGCCAAAGGATAGCTTCCATACACCGCAGCATGCTACGATGGGAAACATGGCCTCAGGTGGTGATACTAGAGCAGCCTCGTCTCCCGACCTGTGGGGAAACCTAGATGAGCATGAGGCGTGTCGGGAGACGATGTGGAATTATGAGCAACATGTTCAGTCTCAGCAGCATGGTGGCGGTCAGCCTGAGGAGCATCTTCAGTCTCAGCAGGATGATATGTTTGGTACACAGGATCAGGATGGTGGTGTTGAGGAAGATGGGCCCCATGAGTATGATGGTAGACCTCTGCGTAACAGGGTGCCTGCGAGGTGTGGTACTGGCGGCCATCTAGCGGTGGAGCATGGTGGTCGTCAGTGAGACTATTATTATTATTATGTACTTCCTTATTTTTGGATTGTTATTATTACGTACTTCTTTTAGACTATTATTTTTGGATTGTTATTATTATGTACTTCCTTTAGACTATTATTTTTGGATTGTTATTATTATTAACGATAAAAAACATAACAACAACATACCAAACAACAACATCTCAAACAAACAACAACTTTTACATGGTAAATCAAAAGAAATACAACAACTTCTACCACCTCTCAGCCATGTCTATTACCTCTACTTCCTCTTCTACCACCTCTCGCACTTCGTTGGCCACCACTCCCTCCTCGGTTGATCCCACTCCCACTAGCTTGGTCACCGCAGGTTGATGCATTATGTCCTGCTTGGTTACAGTTGCTACACACTTGGTGTGATGCACCCTTCCTTGGCCAGTCCATCTCGTTGTGAATCCTTGTAATTCGTGGCCTCCCCGGCTTCCTAATCATGTGCACATTAGGATGGAGAATAGGACCATTATGCTTCTTCCAACCCTTAGGTTCACCAAGAGGTGCGAAACTTGTCCCATAACAAGCCATTACTGTTTCCAGCTTGTAGACATCGTTGACAAACCTATATACGCATTAGCCCCCATTCGGTTGCAAGCTGCAATGGCATGAGAGCAAGGAATTTTATTTCCTTGAAATTTACCACAAGTGCAAAATCCTGCCCGGTTTTGATCGTCAAAGTGAACTATGAGTGTGTTTGACCCCGTCATGTTGAAATTGTTGGGAGGAGTCTGAACTACATAGATGCCTTGACTTCGATCAAGAGCTGTCAAAGAATGTCCAATTGCCTTTTGTGACCTGTACTTCATCAGCTCTTCGCACTTGGTGGAGTACTGTGAACCGCCACTTCTAATTTCTGCTCCTGTCTCCAACCTGTACTTATCGAATTTCTCCACCAATCGCCAATAGGTATGCTGCACAAGAGAAGCTATAGGAAGTGCACGAATACCTTTGAAAATACCATTGACGCTTTCTGCCATGTTGGATGTCAGGATAGACCAACGACCCCCACCATTGTAGTTATCATGTGCTAAACTCCAACACATATGATGTTGATCCACCCAGTTATCACATGAAATATTTCTATCAGCGGCCACCTTCTTAAACTGCTCAACTTGACAATCAAATTTCTCCAACCGTTTTTCTCCGGCTAACAAAATAAACCACAACACGGGTTAGATAAATTCATGACAAAATTACATGAAAACAAATAATAAAATTAAATGAAGAAAGCTTACCGACTCGAAATAGTTGATTATACATAATTTTGCTTTTAGTATTCCTTTGCAAATTGCTTGCATAGTGTCGCATGCACCACCTCCACTCCCAACCTCTTCCGATGTTATTCATGGCTTCATAGAGTCCTGCATGTCTATCTGAGATGATGCATACATCATTTCGATCAGTCAAACCCTGAAAGTTCCTCATGAACCATGGCCAACTCTCAGTATTCTCGCTTTCCACTATGGCAAATGCAATTGGAAAAATCTTCTTCCGGCCATCAAATGAGCTCGCCATGAGTAGCACTCCTTTATACTTCCCAGTAAGAAATGTTCCATCAACAACCATGACGCCTGGACAATTCTTGAATCCATCTATACAAGGTCTATAAGCCCAAAATACTCGCTGAAATATTGAATGACCTGGTTGAGTCGAAGGAACTCTTACCCAATCAATCACCGATGTTGGCATTTTTCTCTTGACCACCCGCAAGAATGTTTGCAAAAAATCGTAGGATTCTTCCCAATTTCCATGCAACTTCTCCAATGCTCTTTGTTTCCCATACCAAGCCTTCTTGTAAGTAACTTGCATATTAAACTTATCTTTCAACTCGGCCTGAACAGTTAGAACACTCAGATTTGGTTGGGCACGTACCAAATGTTTGACGGCCTCAGATATCATGTCGACATCAAGATGGCGATGATCCGTCGGTTGAGTCGTACTGCTACAAGAATGCACCAACTCAGCCTTTCTCACAGTCCATTCGCCCCCAACATCTCGACATCCAAACCGCACCATCCAAGGACAATTGTCATCCTTGTGCCTCAAGCATCTGACCTTCCAGATTGAAGGTGACGACTCCACCACGCCATATTGAAAGTTGCGTTGTAGTGCGTGGTGTTTAATCGCCATCTGTGCAGCTTGTTTCGAGTGAAATATCTGCCCCTTGTAGAATTCTCCTTCAAAACTATCAACAATAGGCATTGGAATTACGCCATATGAATCAGCAAGTGATAATTCTTCGTCCTCTTCATTACCCTGCAAGTAATAATATGGAGGATAATTAAGCTGCTCTCCTTCCTCCTCCTCCTCCTCCTCCTCCTCCTCCTCATCTTCCTCCTCTCCGTCATCACCGTCATCATAGTCATAATCAGATGGCACGCTCCATGTATCATCTTCTTCCTCTCCACCCTGATCCTCACTGAGCTCAACATGTATCTCAGCACCCAAACAATAAGGATTTTGTGCCATAAAATTCCAAAGCACATTCAAGCTATCATCATCCACAATAGGTATCGCATAATGAAATAAAACACCATTCTGCCATTCTGGAAGACGGTAAGTGAAACCTGTGATCACATCACTATCTTTTACTGCTTCGTCTCTGCGCCGTATTCTCGGAATTAGATTCTCACAAAGTTTGTGATATGTGACTCTGGATGGAACCGTCAACTGAAAACTACTACCACCAACGAATTTGATGCCCAAATTATCCTCTACTTTCTCCGATTTCCACCGAACAACTAGTTCAAATCTTCTAAAATCACTACAAAAAAACAAACTCACTAATTAAAACTAAACACAATCATAATAGCATTTGAATAATATAATTACAAAAATACATGTGTCTCTTACCTATTAGCCATTTTTGCAGCAGCAACCAGAGCTCTCTCCTCTATTTTGGACGATTTTTTTTTGTGGTGTGAATCTGAAACGAAATTGTCTGGGTTTTATAAGGTGGGTGGCCAGCAATAAGCCAGCGGTGCCACCTCAGTCTCGGGCGCCACCGCCTGGGATGATTTCCCACCTACTCGCCTAGGTCTCAGGCGGTGCCGCCTGAGTCTTGAGCGCCGCCGCTGTCAACTAAATAAAACGGTCCAAAAAACAAGCTAAACCGGCAACGCTTGAGTCTTAGGTGGCCTCGCCGATTCTTTTCTCCAAAACACAATATCTGTGTCAATACTTTTTAATTGGCCATATTAGTGGTAAATTTAAAAAAGAAAACAATATTTCTGTCCCCACCAAACCACTATAAATTATTTGTGACTTTATTTATTCCATGGAACCCTATGCATTTCTATTTCAGTGGGCCCCGACTCAAATCCGACACCATTTTGAATTTGAATCAAATAAGGAAGAAGGGGAAATAAGAAAGAAAAGGGAGTAATGGACCAATTTATTTATTCATATTTCATATTAATATATGCCGTTCACACATAGGAATTGATCGAATAATGGAAGTCTGATTTTATGGGAGTGAGACAGAAAGACCGTCGTTGGTTGACTTGGTTCATACATACACAACACAATGACCAACTAATCAAAACAAATTTCTAATCAAAGTCAGTAACGACTCTTCTTCCTCCTCCTCCTCCTTGTTCTTCTTCTCCCTCTTCTAGTCTCGTTATAAACAAAGCTGCATTATAACGCCGAGTGATCTCCAAAACCCCATCTTTATAATTTCCTTCTGAAACCCCCTCCTCTGTTCTGTTGTCACAAAACCAAACCCCAAGAGATTCACAATTTCCATCGCAGAGAAGAGGAAGACATTGATCATGGCAGTCGGGATACTGGAAGTTCATGTGGTGAGCGCGAAAGGCCTCAAAAGCACCGATTTCCTTGGTACGTACAATCAATCGCCTGTATTGTGTATGCTCTTTTCAACAGATTCGATTTTTCTGGGTTTCTTTCCTTTATTGCATGTCTGCGCTTATTGTCCACGAAGCAATTTTGATTGATCGATCGATCTTCTCCAGAATCGAATTCTGGGTTAATAATCTAATTAGCTTAGCTCTTGTGTGAAGGTGGAATCGATCCGTACGTGGTGGTTCAGTACAGAAACCAAGAGCGCCAAACCAGCGTTGCCAGAGGTAATATATTTCTTACTGCACTTTTGCTTCTCTCGATTTGGTAATCCCAGTGCTGTAGATTTTACCACAACATCAACATGTTGTTATATCTCCTCTGGGATGTATACCACTGTACATTTCGTTTGTCTTAGTCCCCTAGTTCTAATTCAAACTCAATGAGGTCATGTTCCTACCTAACTAGACAAACACACCAAAAACAAACCTCATTGCAAGAGTTTCCTTTCCTAGGGTTCAATTCAACACAAGAAAAAAAGGGAGTTTCCTTCTGTTTGTGCCCTAATTAATTTGATGATGATAGTTTAGAGTTTCGTGAATGGAAGGGAACATGATGATCTCATTCAGCTTAGTATAGTATTTCAAAAGTACCTATTTGACATGGCATTCTTTACCTTCTCATTACAAAGAGAGAAATTTACAGAAAGTTTGTATGTCAATCCGCTATAGAGGTGGTTGATGAGATTATGATATTATAGTTCATAATTATCCTATGCACATACATGGCGCCAATGCAGGGGCAGGTGGGAGCCCAGAGTGGAACGAGAAGCTGACATTCAGAGTGGAATACCCAATCAATGGTCAAGGCGGCGGCGAACACAAGCTCCTCCTCAAGATCATGGACCACGACACCTTCTCTGCGGATGACTTTCTTGGCCTTGCTACGTAAGCTGAATCATCCCTTTTCTTAATAATCACTTGTTTGTTGTTTTGTATCAATTACGACAGTGATCGTTACTTATTATGCGATGATTATCCTGACAGGATTCACCAAGTGAAAGATTTGTTGGAAATCGGGGTGGAAAAGGGGAGCTCGGAGCTGCATCCTTGCAAGCACAGTGTGGTCACTGCTGCAAATTCTTACTGCGGTGAGATTAAAGTCGGCCTCACCATCACAATTAAGGTAACTGCGTCGATCGATCCAGTAAATAGTTAAATTCTGTATGATTATTGTGTTGGCTCTGACTAATTATTCGACTGACAATTGCATTGAAACAGCGGGAAGGGGGTGATGGTGGCGGCGAAGGGCAGCAGTTTGGCGGGTGGAGGCAGAGCAGAGACTTTTAGCCATTAGTCACGAACTTACGATGTGCATTCAGAGTCTGTGTATGTTTCGAATTATGGGTCGGTATGGATTTGGCTTCTTGATCCTGAACCCAGAGGATGTAACGTGTACGTTTAATGCAAAATTAGGTTGGGCTTGTGTTGTCTTTGTTATGTATATCATCTCTACCAGCTTTCTGCCTCTCTACGGTTTTGCTCAATCGTATTAGTTGAATGTATGATACAGAAGTATACCTACTTAGCGTTTGCCCCCAGAAGAAGCAAATGAGTATATACTACAATTCTTCCCAAAATTATCTTTCGATCTGTGTTTCGGAGAGAAGAGGGAGGAAAAGAGAAACGGGGGAGAGAGACTTACCCTTAACCTTAAGCAGTGCGGATTTGTAGAATGATATTTTACAAAAAGATTATAGAATGAAAAATATCAGCTAGCCGTCTTAGCTCAGCCGGTAGAGCGCGTGGCTTTTAACCACGTGGTCGTGGGTTCGATTCCCACAGACGGCGACTATCTTGTTTTTACCGACTCTCTATCAGAACTGGGTTTTGGCTTTTTGCAGATTGAGAAGCTGCAGACAGAATTGGAGGCATAACAGGCAACCCATCCATCCCTTGCTTCATTGCTTCCGCCTCAAGTAAGCTTTTCAGTTCCGGATTTTTCGTGAGGGATGACTGATGATTGAGTACTGTAGATGTGCTGACATTTGCTTACAATGAGGGGCAAGTGCAGGAGCTTCTGGCAGAAATGGCAATGGTGGAGGAGGAAATCATCTGGCTCGCGAGGAAACTAGGGGAGTTGAAATTTAGAAGGAGCTACCATGTGTCAACATTACAAAGCCATGCTGGTGGTTTCAGAAGGGAGAGGTTCAAATTAAGAAGAGCTTCTGCTGGTTCTGCAGAAGAATTATTCTGCATTCTTCCCACTGCTGCGGCTTCACCAAGTACGCCTCTAAACTCCTAAACGATGGATTGTGCATTCAGGAGATTACTCAATTAAACTCAGTTTGATTCTACGTAGGAGCTACTTCTCATGATTTTACTAGCACAATCAATGAACTTAGAGTAGAATCGTGGATTGATTGCTTCTATGATCTATCTATAATCTATGACCTTAGCCGAAAAGCCACAGATGCAACACAGGCAAAGATCACTGACGCAGAATGAAACCAGAATGCGGATAGTAGTACGATATGAGAAGCCAAACGAGCTATCTGAAGAACTCACCAGATGCCCCATTGGCATATTCCTTGATCTCATTAATTCGAACTTTTTTTCGTAACTCAACCAAACACTATTTTGAAACCCCAAACAAACACTTACACTTAATAAAACATACAACACCGACTAGGGCAGATTCATTGATACACTAGCAGAAGCACTCAAACGCCGTGGATACAATAGGAACATAGACTGCTTCAAACCGCAATCAAGACAAACAGAAAAGAGAAAACACAGAGTGCCAGTTCAGCTAAGGAAATTGACAATCCTATTTAATAAGTTCAAGCCAAATACGGTTTCTTCACAATTGACTTTCACCGCCACATTCAATGGCTCGGAGCATATACCTTCAGCTGTGACGGTAATTAAGCAGGGGACCGAGTTGCTAAGAATTTCACTGCTGAACCGCAAGCACAAGCCAGATGCATCATCGTGCTTGGCTGCGATCGGCATGTCGACAGATACAAGGAAGAGATTGGCATTGCTGAGCATTGTCAACACTATGCTCTCACAGACTACCAGAAACTTGTCTTTTGAGAACGTGTGGTCTCCCTTTTCCTTGTTTAGATCGTCTACGTGGCCTTTGAAGATACAACTGGAAACCCAGAAAGTGAAAATGAAATGAAGATGAACTCAGTAAGTGGTATTAATGCATTGACAGAAACAGGTGAGCAGGAAAGCAATTGACATACAGACAATGGGTGTGTATGTTTTTGCCTAAAATAAGTACTTTTTGAAAAAGAAATTGAGTTAAAAGCCAGATCTATCATGAATACTAAACCCCGAAAATTATTTAAATAAAGTCCATTTGGAATGAAAATCCATCAATGATGGTTGTCATGCCAGTGGCATGCCGGCCGGTTGAACCGGTGCCGGTCATGAAATCGACATAACACCATCGGTATGACCGGCATGATGAATTTACGAATTCTAAGCAAAATGACGTTGTTTTAGTGAATTTAATTAGTAGAAATAAATTTATTACATATTTTATGGATACAAAAGTTAAAAGTTGATGTAATTTGTTGGATTCGGGTATAAACGTACAAGTATTGCGTTAAATGTTGTATTTAAATATGAGTATTTGTTATTTTATTTGGAATGTTGTATTTTATTAAACCGGCATGAACCGGCACAAACCGGTTGTACCACTGGTCGTACCATTCCACTCCCTAAACCGGCGCAACGGTATAAACCGGTTTGACAACCTTGAGTTCTATCACTAAAAATAATTCATACCCGCCAAGACAACTTTTTCTTAACACTTTCCCAAACACACTTTCTCTCTAATGTTTCTTAAACTTGAGGAAAAGTCACAATCAAAAGCTATTACACAATGATATGATGATACTGTCAGAATGATAATAATTACTAAGATTAAAAGTCGGAGCCAAGTATAAGTTAACTGACCTCCTTGTGCACTCAAACATTCCTGGAAGATGAGATTCCTTGTCTCTGAATACTTCAACATCCATTGGAAGTGGTTTTACAAAATACCCAATGTCAGGGCGCAATTTAACTGGAAAACTCTTGCCATTGAAATATATGACCAACTTCAAGGGCAGTAGATGGTGGTGGAAGCGAACATGGATTGTCTCCGCAGTTGCTTGACCAGGTTCCAGAGAAGTAATCTCTTGCATAGGAACCAGTGCTGGTACATCATCCTGAGAAGAGCTGCAATAACCAAGTCAAAGGCATGTGCGCTAAGTTAGTTCAACAGAGAATCGAAGAAAAACATTGTTGTTGACAAAACAAAATACAGATATTTGTTCAATTTTTAGTGATGACAGGGGTATGGAAACATCAAAGGTACCAGCAAAATTACAGCTTCACAGCCAATCATTGACTAGATAAGAAAACCAGTCATAAGTAAGTAAACTAGCCAAAAGCGATAGGAACAAAAGTTACCTCTCAGAACAATCTGAAGGTTTGGTGGTGGAGTCCTCATGCTTCAACACTATGTTTAAGATGGTCTCAATGGAACAGTTCTTAAAAGTAGCTTGTATGGTTACAACATGAGGGGAAATATTTGAAACATCAGATGAAAACGTATAATCCACCTTCATGCCATTTCCATTCGCAGGGTCTAAGAGTTCATAGGTCTTAGGTCTTACTCGCTTCTCAATGTCCTTAATTGAAATTCTTGCTGACCTGGGGACCTTACTCTCTTTGTGTATACTTGAATTTGGTAAACTGGGTTGATCATCCAACCAAGTTTCTAAATCTCTTTTTGACATAAGTTCCTCAAGATCAGCAGAAGCAGCTGGCAGGAGATGGCTCTCATCGGATATTTGAATCAGTGGATCTTGGATGTTTTCATCCTCATTTGAGGAACCACTCTCAGTATTGCCACCAGAAGTAACTGAGTGGTCAGAGCCATTGTAAGAACCACTTTCCTCATCCAAAGATCCAGTAAATGAACCAGAACCATCTTGTTCTGATAGATCTGCCTCAGTATCTGCATCATGAAGAATAGTACAAGGCTTGGGCAGTGGTTCATACCCTGGGGCAGCATGAAGTACAATCTGTGACAGGGAGCCTGGGAGATAGACTCGATAATTGATTGGTATCGGGGACTGTTGAAATGCTTGTTCATGAAACATGTGTTCAGAAAGTACATTCAGCAGGCCTTCATTTTCAGGGGAAGTAATCACCTCATCTTCCAATTTCTTTGAGCCCAAATGACACGAGAGAAGTTTCCTGAAGAAACAGCCTCTTCCACGGACAACATAGTTCATATCACACTCAGCTAGTTCAAGCACATAGCGAGCTATTTTTTGTAATGTCTCTAGATTTTCACCTCTCGAATTTGACAGTACCTACAGGCCATTAAACACAGAATCAACTGCAGAGTTCTCTTAAAGCATCCAGCTCAGAATTGTCAGAACAGATTCATGCACGGGAAGGTTAGAACAAAAGTCTTGATGCATTAGGCACCTTAGGCCTTGGAGCTCACCAGAGAGAGGTGCTAGTGAAATTGATTAATGAATATTTTAAGAGTTACTGAACGAGATCTATAAAATACCTTAGCAACTGTGTTTAGAGTCTGCAGCTTTGTTTCTGAGCTTTCTGAAGCAAAGCTCCAAGCAATATACTTAAGAACAGTAAGTAGCATATTGGGAATTATCTCCCCAACCTTGCTATACTCTCCCACCATCCAAATAATTATTGCACGCGCTGCAGGTACCTTGATGGAATCTAGGTTACGGACTAACTGAACAATAACCTGCAAAAGATGAACGAATCAAATAACAAAAGGAAGCTCCAAAAGAGCAGAGACGAATCATTTTCAAGCTTTGTTGTGTTATTTAGAAGCACATGGTTTACGTCTAATTAATGTTTTTAAGCATCGCGCCTTTTATTGGTTGACCTTGTCCTTTGACAACTATTTTCCAACTTAATTGAGATGACTAGTTATTCAATATATGCTGCCAAATGGTTCATGGTTCTCTAATAGTTTGTAGAAGGGATGAAGTGAAATAGATAATAGGTTCAACATATAATTTCACCATCATCAAGCAAGTGTCTACCTCGCGTTTCAGCACCAACCGCTGCCAGCCTCAGTTATCAAGATTAAGGCATTCAAATGAGGAGAATGGAAATGGAAATGCAAATGCCTTGAGAAGAACAAAGTAGTAGCAGTACCTTTTCATGTCTAGGAGGATCCTGCTTTATAATCATTTTAATCGACATTATTGCTTGAACTAAAACACCTGCTTCTTCTTCAGAAGTCCTGACGTCACTGGTGAAAGAATCTGAAAAATGTGCAGATAATTCAGAAGGGAACAAAAGTTTAAGTTTCCTTCTTGGAGTTAGCTAAAAGAAAATAGTACAGACCTTGCCTGGTCAATGCCAACAGCCCTTCCAAACATGTACTAGCCATTTTAGGAAGTTGCAAAGCACACAAACCAATTGCAGCTACTGCATCAGCTGCAAATTTCCTGTCCGGGTCCCTAATATAGTCCTGTGAGTAATTAAGACGCAAACAATGAAAATATAGTATGAGCCACTTCGAAGAAGAACCTATTATTTGAGATATATGAATGACAAAGCAGTATTAACAGTTTCTTTTTTCCCTTTTCATGAATGAAAGAAACTAACTACTAGGCAAAGAAAGATTGAAGGACTAGCCTGAAATTCCTTGAGGATAGATGCAATAGAAGAATCTGTGGAGATAGTACAAAGAATCTCAAGCTTCAAGGCTTTTGTCTGATAAGAATCTGTGGATAGTATGAAAAAGTTCTCAAAGTGTGAAGCAAATAGATAAGGCATTGCTTTAGCAAACACTTGAATGTTGCAAAGGACCTGTAAAGAAAACATACAAGTGTATCAGCTGAACATGAATTAACTTCTTAAACTTGATTAAAAAGTTCCATGTAAAACTAAAAAAAAAAAGCAACTGGAGGGGATCGCCTAAGAACGATATGAAACATCATCAAGATTTTGCATCTTGCAACCTCCCAAACTTCATCCAATAAAGCCAACATGACATATATATGGTAGTAGCAGGCATAGGAATACCCACTTAATAGGTATTACCAGCAATTCTCATGTAGATGAAATTACTTAGGCATGCATTATAACATACCTGAAAAGTAAGCTATTCTACATTGAAATGGTACCAAGTATCTCCCCTAAGATAGACAAGATGATTTTCCCTCCAAGTGGAATAATTTAACCCAGCCATATTTGTTACTGATCCCCCATTTTTAATCATTTCAAATCCTTTTCCTCTAGCTTGGAAAAGAAAATAAATTAGTTCCTGTTTTTTTATACTAATTCAAGACTAAAAGAGCACCTCACGAAGAGAATGCAGGAATTTTCTATAAGAAAGCCTACACCTTGCTCTTCAATGGAAATCAAAACTGCATCTACATATTAAATATTAAAGAAACGCGTTTAGTACCAACTGTGTATACAAGAACATAGATGCAGGGATTGCTCCGTACCACGTAATTTGAACTTCTAGATGATCTCAACAAAAATAGCAGTGGTTTAACTAATCTTTGGATGTTATCTCTTGGTGCCATAATCCAATGTACACCAGCTGCAGCTAGTACTACTGCACTATTGTTACTCCAAAACAACGGTGATGTGCATTGAAGTAGGATCTTCACATCCTCATTATTCTTGCAAGATGTAAACTTTGCACCACTAAATGCCAAGGAAACCCTGTTGGAGTAACTTGAACGTGATAAATAATCATCAGGCCCTTCGATGTAACACCTAGATATCATGCTAGCCAGCTCAGAATCATATTTCTTACTGGGATCAATGCCCACTTTTCCGACCGCAGAGTGAACATCTGAATCATCATTTTCAGACGAGGAATGTTCTTTGCTGTGTAGATGGAACATCATCGACTCCCTCACCAGCCCATGCCTTGCTATGGCATAGCGCAGAAGAATTCCAATTAAGACTATTTGACCCCACTCCTCGACATCGGGAAGAATAGTACACAACCTTTTATAATTTTTTCCGATCAAAGAATAATTGTTTGGGCAGACAGAAGAAAATGCAGCAGCAGCAGCACCCACTACAGCCGGTGAATTATCAGTTAACAATGTTCCAACAATCTGCATTCAAGACCACAACGGATTGATCGTAAAGCCAGCAATAGTTAACAACCAGAGATTTGCATGGCATAAAGCTAGATATGAATTAATATGAATATCTTGGATGTGTGGGGGGTAAACAAAACAACATAAAATGCAGAATGGCTGCGTTACACATGCAAAAAGAGTAGGACGGAATGCTTATCTAGGAGATTCTTGTAAAGGTAGAAACTAGTATGCGTGAAACAAAGGTTAAGTATTCAGGGAAAGCTTGCATGACTAGATTATATAAATTCAGAAGTATGAATTGGCTAGACAACTGAACTCTATCTATCTTGAGACAAGTGTGAAAGAATTTGAACTCAGTACGACAAGTTCCAAATTAATCAACATATTACCTCTTCAATTGTGGAAGAGAGTTCCTCCAAACGCAAATCATGCAATTTTGGAAGAGCAGTGGCAGCACATTTTCTCACATAAACTGAGGGATCTCTAGCACACTTTCCAACAGCAACCAGAACAAGAGGAGCAATAGCATGTAAACGAATTCCAGCCATGGTACGGAGAGCCCATGCCCTTACTAATGGATTTGTATCCCCTAAGTCTTTCTGGAATGAATTGATCGACAGCAATGCTTCATTGGGACGCCTACAAAATGTCAATGCATAAGTCAAACTCAGTTCCCCTAACAGCAGTCGCGACAAGCTTTCTCGCCACTTAAGAACAGTAAACCGATATAAGTAATACCCCTCACTTTCAGTTAACCACAGAAAACCAACAACGACCATTCTGTGTATCTATCTCTGGGACGTACTTTTGAGCATAATGGAGGAGATACAAGTAAACCAGCTTCTTCACTTCCAACGAATGAGATGCCACGTTTTTAACCACCTGCAATTCTCTTGATCAAATGGAGAAAACGGCACATAAGTCAAAATAAGTACTGTAACCTCCGATGCCGGAGAATTCAAGTTGAATATTGTGAATTGCTTCAATTACTCAGCAAACTTGCTTTTGAACAGTGCGAAATCTACGCAGCCATCACTATGAAAGTTCTACTCAATTCCAGCAATTCAAATTTCAATGGGGCAAGCAAGTGGTCGCGAACCTGAGGGAAGAAATTGGAAACGTCGAATCCCTGAGCAATGAGAGCCAGCAGGCGCTTGAGAGCTTCGCATTTCTCAGAGTCGAACTTGCTGTCCAGCAACGGCGCAATGTTAACGTCTTCTGGATCGTCGTAAAGGTGCGCGTCCGTCCCGATCCGGAACATGATCGTCGACGCCTTGCTCAGCGTATCAGCCGTCGCTCCGAATTGCGGGAACATTCTGCGCTCCTGTTTCCTGCTCTTCCGCTTAACCTCGGCTGGCTATGGCAAAATTGGCGATTCTTCCTCTTCCTTCTTTTTTTCCGATTCGGACACTGCGACGACCCTGGACTGGAGGTTGAAGAAGGCGAGCTCAGCTTGACGAGAAGAGGAGAAATTTCTGCTTGACAAAGAAGAATTGGAAGTTTGTAAGTGTAATTAAATTGGGCCTAGATGTGGATCGTAGAGCCCATTTAGAAATCGGGCTGTCCCTCTTATGGCTCTGAGATTTGACATCGCGAGGCCTATGAAGGCCCACACCACTGGTTCCAACGTGGGGCCCGTGGGTTTTTCAAAGCCGCATTTGATTGTGCTTTTGTATTGTCTTTTTTTTTTTCGCATTAAAAGTTAAAGCAATGGTGCAGGAATATGAATATGTACGGTGTGGGGCCCACTTGTCTATTCAGCAACTACTCTAAAGTCCAAAGCGCACTCAAAGTGAGCCGATGGTACGCTGATTTGTCGTGGTCAACTCTCGGCCCGAGACCGGCCTCTGCCTCGATAGCCATATGGGCCCCAAGTCCCCAACCGATTGATCTCCCGATAATTAGTGAGGGCGTGATCATTTGGCATTTGAGGAAAAAATAGTGAACGGATTTTTTTTTTTGGTAAAAAAAATAGTGACCGTTGCTTACTTGGACGATTAAATTTGGGAGGTACTAATTAACGCCCTAACTTTTTAAAATTATCGCCCTAAATTAATCAAATAGACGATTCTACCCCATTTCCTAAAACGGTCACCACCAATGCCTAAACGCATCGTCAATCCATCGCCCTAATCTCTAATTCTGCTAAGCTCGTCGCCGACGGAAGGAAAACTCCCGCTCATGAAATTCACCGGAAGAGTTCTCCACCCACGCCCTAATTTTCCTTCGCCAATCCACCGGCGGAATACTCTGTCCAGCTGACGAAGTTCTCTACTCCACATCCGTTGTTGTGGCACTCAAGGACGAAGAAGAATGCACATCTTTGCCCCTAGCCCAATTGCAGATCGTGGCCAATAGGATGACTTGCCCGGCGACGGGATTGGTATTAGCAGGGATACGGTGATGGGATTCCTTCTTCCTCCTCAAGCTCGCCAGAAACAGAGGTTGGCCGTGACGAAGACGAAACTGAATCCGACGGATGCGACCTTCTCCTTCCTCCTCGGCTCGGCAGCAGAGTCTCGGCGGCAGAGGTTCGACCTTCGTTCTTCTCGCGGTGGCTGGGTGCGCCGTGGCGTCCGGTTTGGTTCTCTTGCCTCGGAGCCGCCGACTGGCTGGGCAGAGAATGGAATCGGAGGGCGGCGGCAGCTTTTCGTCGGAAGCAGAGCAAGGAGGCACGGAACTGATGGGGGTAAGGGCGGCGTTGATTGCCGGGGAAAGGGCGGCGGGGAAGCGAAAGAAGGAGGAGGGGCTGGCGGGTTAGGGCTGTGATTGTCAAGGGCAATATCGTCCGTTCAGAACAGCTTAGGGCGATAATTTTAAAAATTTAGGGCGTCGATTAGAAGTTCAGTTAAATTTGGTATGATCCATGTTTGAAAATGTTAATAGGTTCATTGTGATATGCATGGTTCAAAAAGACACGCTTAACATTACGCTTAGGCACGCTTAGGCGCAAGGCAATGGAAAATGCCTCGCTTAGGGGTTTCGCGCCTAATTAGATACTGGAACACGTCAATGCAGTAAGGCGACACATAAAGTCTCTCCTAAGCATTACTAGATGAAGCTAGTAAGTAAATACTAAAGACCAAATTTAATATCAACTACGAAATCAATTTTCTATTGCAATATTTAAAATAGCTCAAGAACTTTGTGAGCTATTGAGCTCTGATTCTATGAATTCGTGAGCTATGTTCTTGTCATCAAGTGTTGAGTAAGTAATTAATCATTATATGGTTATAGGTATAATATGCCCCTCTACTATGACGTTTTATCAAACATGCCCCTCTACTATTTTTTACATCAAATATGCCCCTGTACTTTGAAACAATTATCAAACATGCCCTTATGTTAAAATTTCCATTGAAAAAATCGTCAATCATGGTTGAATTGAGATTTAGACGACCCGACATCGGCAAATGGGAGGAAAATGTCAGTTTTGTCCCCTGTTTTATTTCCCTAGGTCTTTTCAAAGTGAAATTATTTGAATGATTTGATTATACAAAAGAACCAAAAAATTCTAAAGTGAATTTATTAGGGATATTTTAGTCATTTGTGTCGCCCAAACTAAAGTTCGGCATTGGTTAACGGTTTTTGGATGAAAATTTTAACAAAAGGGCATGTTTGATCATTTTTACAAAGTACAGGGGCATGTTTGATGTAAAAAATAGTAGAGGGGCATGTTTGATAAAACGTCATAGTAGAGTTGCATATTATACCTATACCCATCATTTTAACTAAAGTGAGGAAGTGTTGTAGATTATTATTTTATTCATCATGCAGTCCGAATAGCTATTTTTCTTCCAACGACTAGGCGAGCTAGGCGCAAGGCAAAGGCTCAACGTCCACCTTACGCCTAACGCCTTTTGAACCTTGGTGATATGATATAGATTATCATTTGCAACATCAACTTAAAGCACTCCATTTTCTTGCATTTGGATTAATGAAACAATACATTGTCTACTTACACTTTCTTTCTCCAAATTCAATTTCCTTTGTCGTCTCTCTAGAACTCTTTTCGCTCAAGGATTCCGGGGCTGTCACCGGCGCCGATTCCGGCGACGGGGAGACCCTTTCCTTTTCTATTTTATCGTCATCTTTCCCCCAGCCTCCTGCAGTTATGTTCCATTTCCTTCTATGTTGTTGATTTTCAGTTTCTTTCCTCTTTTCCCCCTTGGTTGTTTTCTTCCTTACCTTTTGAGAGTTCCCTTATGTCGATCTCTCTTACACCCTTGTGGTGATGATTTTCTTGTCTCCTTATGAGAAGCTTTTGTTCTCCACCTGACTGGTTTCCATATTTGTGTGGATGTTCTACTGGTATGTGTTTTGGTGGGTGGGGGTGGGGGGGGGGGGGGGCGATTCATCGGTTCGCTTGCTCCTTTCTGATATGCCATCTACCTCCACATGCTTCATCCAAAAATGGGGATGATTCTGAGATGCATGGATCGTTTTTTGTCTTGGATGAAGTTTTAGGGAGCTTGTGAGCAGGGAAGTCTTCTTAGAAGTTGGTATTGGCCAATCTACTTTGACCGGCGGTGAATCAGTCGCCTCCCGTCTGTTCGTGGCCGAGATTGATTTTCGGGTTTGCTTGTGTTTGTAGGTGGAGCTCGGATCCGGTTCTGGGTACGGTTCTCCCCGGTGTTTATGTTGCCCTTTGCTTCTTGTCGTTGCATCGTCTTTCAGGTGGAGCCACTGGTGGTTGGAGGTGTGTCTCTGCTTCCTCCTTTGTCTCCCCGGTGAAAGACCATGTGTGGGCAGAGTGTTCGAAGGCGGCGCTGGCTGGGAGGTGGAATGCAGATTGGCGACCAATTTCTTGAGGATTGGGTCGATGGGTTAGGGTTACTGAGGGTGGGTTGGTCCATGTGTTTGGATCGGGTTTGGGCTTTTTTAGCTTGGGCCTTTGTCTGTCCATTGTTAGTTATCTTTTTCTGTTATTTTTTTTTCTTCCTTTCAGTGTTATTGTAACTCTGTACACCGTGTTTCGTATTAATGAAACAACCAACAAACGTAAAAAATAATGTCTAGCAACATAATCGCAGATATGTATGTGTTACATATTTTAAATAGTGTATCCATCTGGTGAATATATATTATAAAATTTGTTGAAGATTATCCTGACATAATAATAACTTTTTTCATTGATGATATTATGCAAACTTGTCTGGCTGACAGTAATTTAATCGAGACTATTTAATGTTTAAAACAAATAAATATTCGGAGTTACAGAAGGAATCACCTTGTTTTTTTGCTACGGTGACATGAATGTCACTGTAACTTGCACTTTTAGGTCGACCTTATATAGGATTAGGTCGACCTAATATGTCGTTTCAGTTTTGTGAGGTTCAACGACGCGGTTGACCTTTTATAGCAAATGGACGAGCTCTTTGAGAAGCGATGTGGGTGGTTCTTTTGCTCGTACAAATTACATTTCAAACCAACAAAGTGGAACCATGGCTTACCCTTACTAGCTCCCGGAAGAAATTGCAGCAGCAACTTCCGATGGTCTAAACCCAAATCGGTTAGATGATTAACCTGCATATAGGGCCAAACACCAATCAACGCATCATTAGCTAACCCGCGATCAAGTCTTTCCAAGATATGTGAATTAAACCCTGCCGGTTAGACCAAGTAAAAGGAGAGCCCTTAAATCCCAAATCCACAAGTCCAGTAGAATCAAGAAAGGAATGAAAATGGTCCATGGCAGTGAAGGAAGGAAGGCGACCTCCCTATTTCTCATAGGCAAACAAGATACAATTAAAATCACTAATGACAACTATGGGAGAGACACGTGACAATACTAAGGAGAGAATTTCATTGAATTGTTCAACTATAAACTGTACATCATAATGAAGATGAACAAAGATAACCTTAATTAACCCCCCCCCCCTCAAACCACATGCTGACATTCAACAAATAGGTAGTAATAAGACTCCCCTAGAACCCGACGCCTAACATTGGTAGAGCACGCTACAGCTAAATCCCACGCCCTTCCTACTGTAGAAAAACAATGAACAAAAGGATAACCTTGACGCATCAACTTGTTATTTACAAAATCATCATCTCGCTTGGTTTCACTAAGGAAGAGGACGGATAGGGAGAACCGCCCAATGACTCTGATCAACGAGGGAATTGTAAGGGGAGAGCCCAGTCCCCTACAATTCCACGCCAAAATGCTCATTTGGGGGAATGGTCCCAGTTCTGGCTGGTACCCACCACAATGCTTGAGAGTTCTCCTCTGAATCCATATCCATGCCATCCGTACGAGGGTGCTTTGAGATAAGGGAAAGCTGTTGTAGATTATGTGGGTGTTCCCTCACCCTTGAATTGTTCGCAAAACTGAGCGCAGGCCCCAGCTGGAGAGGTTGCTGCTGGACTGCTGAACCACCTCCCCCTGTCGAACCCAGGTGAAGAGTTTCTTATGCATCAGGGTCTTCTCGTTGACCTTGGGACCCTTAACTTGAACCAGGGTGTGCCACCCGTAGAATGGAGTAGCACCAGATAGCTCTTCACGGCGAGGACAAGACTGGCCTGCATGCCCAAGAATGCCACAGAGAAAGCAAAAATGTGGCAGGCGTTCGTACTTCACCACCGCTTCAAAATCCCCACGTCCAACAGTTTCGTGGGAAGCACGCACCGAGATTGGCAGGGGGAAGCGATTGTCAATCCCCACTTCAGCCCGGAGATACACAACACCAAATTGAGGGATACGATGCAATGAGGGAGAGGAGGTTCGACCAATCGCTTGACCCAAAAGAAGGGCTATCTTCTTCATGCAACACTCAATTGGGACATCCTAGAAGTGAAGACCTAGCGGGACACGCCAGAATTGCTCCGAAATCGCTGGTGTAACTGTCACCCAGGGAACGAGATTAACCAGGAACTTTGGGAGGAACCAGGAAGATAATTTCCTAATCCGGTCGCGATCCGCCACACTTGGGAAGACAGATTGCAGCAGACCATCAGCCAACGGGCTAATTAACAGTGCATCGTGGCACCTCCAGAGACGCCCCAACGTGTGTTGGAGGCTGGGAATTGGGGGGATATCGCCGATTACCCGGACCAGGAGGGAAAGATCCCTTCGGAGAGCACCAACAGCCACATCCTCGTGCCAAAAACCACCTTGTTGACGACAGCCATGGAGGGAACTATTGATCGATTCAGCAACCGAAAAGGTAATTTCGAAGGGGAAGAGAAGGCGTACCAAGGCATAGGTGATATACATCGATGAACCCAGATTAGGGCTTTAAATAGTCCCATCGGACGAGGCCGTTTCCGGCGCCGCACCTGGGCGGAGTGGCCGGTTACGGCGAGTCGAAACGAGGCGATTTTTCCGATCCCACTCTCCACGATTGAGAGAACATAGAGGGGTTTTTTTTTTCTTTCCCTACCAACAGGTTAGTTGTTTAAATCAAACTTTACGGTTTGAAGTATTCACATTTAAAATGTTTGATAAGTGTTGTGATTATTCTTAACAATTGTTACAAATATTTTCACTGAACACATTTGTGGATACTATTAGGGGCAGACCCAAGTGAGGAAATGGGTTGGCAATTGAAAAACGTTAAATAAAAATTTTGGACTAATTTTTTGTGTGAAATTTTATTTTGGTGATAGTAGTATTTGAATTCAAGATTATTTGACAATCTTTAGAAATTTTGGTCTATAGTTCAATACCATTGATGAAATTTATGGGTCTGCCACTGAATATTATTTTTTTGGTAGAAAACCGTTGAATATTATTAATAGTTATCGTCAATACTTATGTTGTGGTGTATGAATATATTGCTTGTTTGACAAGAGAGTTTAGTAATGTCGCTTTTAGGTCTGGCAATACAAGTATGTAGATTGTTTAAGTGGCGACAAGGGACGACATTTCATCGACTCAACCACTATGTGCACAAAAAATCCAGCTATATTGGTATTTTTTTATTTCCGATAATACTAGGTTGTTTGGTTGACGGATTTGGTGATGGATGATGATTGATCTAGATCTATCATGAACCTTGTCAAAACTCCATTGTGTGCTTCATGTATTTAGAGGCAACAAATCAGTGGGTCCCACGAACTTGAAATTTCACCTCACTATGTAGAAATTGATAATGAATTTGGAAGTCCATCATTTATGACCAACCTACTCCTCCTGTTACCTTTCTCTTCTCGTACCAATGACTATGAGGGCAATAATGATTTTTTTTTTCCACTTCATACACACAATCTAACTAATACAATCCGTAACGAAATCTATGAAGCAAACACGAGTATTTGTCAAGTCCATAATGAACTCAAAACTATCATATATCCATAGTTTTACCGAATCCAAGTTTTACCAAAACCTATAAACAACTCGTAAAGTGTAGGATATTGCTATATTCGTAAAGTGTAAGATATTGCTATATTAGGTTTTAAAAAATGATTATTGTTGGAAAAAATCTTTAATAAAATCTTGAATGAGCAAGGTTAAAACGGCAAAAAACATATGAATAAAACCAACGAAACCCCAAACTACGCGCGCCCTTGGAGCGTGACTTGTCTTACTGCGGTCTATATTTTTACGCTGTTTAGCAATTTCCTCACTCCCTTCACGAGTTCAGTCTTCCCCTTGTTGTTTACGCAGACACAGTACTTGCTTCCCTCCAGGAAGCAAATTGCTCATTGCTAACCCCTACCCATCTCAATCCAGCTACTGACTCTGGTCGCATATACAGTCAGTCAGAATCTTGCAGTTGTCTTCCCGAAAGGTCGAACCCTAATCCCTCTTCTCTTTTTCCCTTTCTTTCCCCCCCCCCCCCCCCCCCCCCCCCCCCCCACCCACCCTTTTCTAACCGTAGAGGTTCGACTGTTCATTTCTACCAATTTGGTCTCCTGCATGTTCGCAGTCGGGTCATTATCGAGTGAGTTTGCGATAGTTCTAGGGTTTTATGGTCCAATTCATCTGAGCTTGCGATCTGTTTGTTTCTCTGGAAAATTCACTTGGTTGAAAGGGTACTCGTCCTTGGCCCGAGTGCCAGTTGGCTTAACTGGGAACTAGCGGGACGCAGGCTAGTTTATGTTCATAAACTTCAACTTTCCTTCAATTCGTTTAAGGTCGTTCTGCTTAGAGTGGTTTGTTAAGCGCCGTCCTGGCTCTTAATTGGCTGGGTCTCTCTAGTCTCTTCCATGCATTTGTTGCATTTGCCTCTAGTTTCTTTGGGCGAGTTGGATGGTACCCTTTTGTTTGTGGATGAGAACCATGGTGCTTTATTCGTTAAATGCGTCGAGTCTTTGTCTAACCCCAAGATCTACACAGCACTCAACTTCATTCTCGTCCGACCTTTGTACTCTGGCGCTGTTTGCTTTACTATGACTATGCGTTTTGAATGGATTCTCTCTAGAGAAGTTTCGGTGCTTACTTGTGAGTACTTTCTCGGTTTCAGGTACCACTTTGACAAATTGAAGTTAAGAGGAGATGGAGAACGACTCAGACAGCAGTACGGATATAAGTGACACAGAAATGGATGAGTACAAAGATAAAATTTATGAAGAAATCAAGGAAGGGAAGCATAAGGTGCAGAACCCAGATGAAACTTTTGCTTGCCCATATTGCCCAAAGAAGAGAAAGCAAGGCTATCTTTACAATGAAATTCTGCAACATGCTTCTGGGGTGGGCAAGAGTACAGGTAAGAGAACATGCAAGGAGAAAGCAAATCACCTAGCTCTGGCTCAGTTCCTGGAGAAGGATGTAACTGGGGCATCGTCATCCAAATCGGTCCAGAATGGTGCTGATCCTTTAAATGGTTGCAACCGCAATGAGGCGTTTGTGTGGCCTTGGATTGGAGTTGTTGTTAATATTCCTACCAGCAGGGCACCGAATGGGAAATGTGTAGGAGCTAGTGGATCAAAGTTTAGGAATGAGTTAATTACTAGAGGGTTTAACCCAACTAGAGTTCGTCCTCTGTGGAATTATCATGGTCATTCGGGGACAGCCATTGTGGAGTTCAACAGAGACTGGCCTGGTTTGCACAATGCTCTTTCGTTCGAAAAGGCTTACGAGGCTGACAATCACGGAAAGAAGGATTGGCTTGCTGAAAATGAGAACAAGTCAGGTGTTTATTGTTGGGTCGCTCGGGCTGACGACTACAATGCTACCAACATTGTTGGAGAAAATTTGAGGAAGATTGCGGATCTTAAGACCATTTCTGATATCATGGATGAAGAAGCCAGGAAGCAGAATAGTCTGGTGTCCAATCTGACAAATTTAATTGAGATTAAAAATAAACAGGTGGAGGAGATGGCTGAGAAATGCAAGGAGGCGTCAGCTTCTCTCCAGAACGTGATGGAAAAGAAAGAAACTCTTCTGCAAGCTTACAATGAAGGTGTTCTCATGAGAATGCTCTGTGTATTTCTTTTGCATTGCGTTGTTAGACATCTACAGTTCATATTTTAGTTGCTCTGCTCATGATGTTCTCTTTATTTACTTTCTGTTGCGATTCTAGAAATACGGAAAATCCAAGCAAGTGCGCGTGATCACTACCAGAGGATATTTAATGACCATGAAAAGTTGAAGTCTCAAGTGGAAACCCAGAAGAAGGAGCTTGAGATGCGCCAGTCACAATTGGAAGAGCGAGAAGCTAAAAATGAAATTGACAGAAAAACACTTCTGGAAGAGATGGAAAAGGTAATGTAGATAATTCTGATCTTACTTGTTCATGTTATGCTGGCTAGATAAGGTCACCCGTCCTCTACTTTTGTGTTGTCAGCATGTCCACACACTTCCATTTTCCACGGATAATAACAGCAGACACTCGGTGGGTATGCCTACTCTTTGCTTCAAAGAGCTGAAAGCTAACCAGAATTTAAGATGCAGGACACTTTTTTGCCACTGAATATTTGGCTTCATTAACTGTCTCACTTCTAGATTCCTAGTTCCGTGGAATGTGATCGTATATAGATGACTATATATAGGACAAAAAAATTCCAGCTGTATTGAAGTAATTTGTTATAACTTTGGAGGCACAACTTACAGCTTCATGAATCTTATGTCTGTATGTACCCTTGTACTTGAGCATGGTACTTTTTCGACATGAGCACTGACTTTTCTTCCCTTTGCTTGTCAGAATGCAACTAAAAATAGTTCACTTCAGTTAGCCTCCTTAGAGCAACAGAAGGCAGATGAGGATGTAATGAAATTGGCTGAAGATCAGAAGGTAAGCCCTTTTTATTTCCCCAGTCCTTTCCTATTCACCAGGAAGAAAGCGTATAAACTAAAACTTTGGTTTTGGCTGTCTTGTTTTAGAGGGAAAAAGAAAAGCTTCACAATAGAATCCTCCAACTGGAAAAACAACTGGATGTGAAACAGACACTAGAGTTAGAAATAGAGCAACTCAGAGGCACTTTGAATGTGATGAAGCACATGGGAGATGATGGTGATGCTGAAATTTTGAAGAAAGTGGAAGCCATTATGAAAGATCTGAAAGAGAAGGAGGATGATCTTGACAATGTAGAATCACTGAACCAGACTCTCATTGTCAAGGAGCGCAAGAGCAATGATGAGTTGCAGGATGCCCGTAAGGAATTGGTCAATGTGAGTAATATTAAAGTTTCTTTGCTCTCGACTTCTTCCATCAGTTTTTCAGTTTGTTCAGGTGGACGGGTATGTGATGCTTCCATTGAAATTAAGTATATTCTTGATGCATTATCTTATCGCATTACATCTTTGATTAGTGATGATACTGAGTGAGGAAAGCAAGGAGCATGTGCTAGTGATATACTGTTTTCCCTGAATTGAACTATATTCAGTTCGCCAATTCGATCCAAGCTCCAAATTAGACTGATTTGGTCCTTTGTGAACTGATCGTTGGACATCCTGCAGCCTGTGCCTAAAATAGACAAGCACCAGATGGCTTCCTAAAAAAGTTGTCATGGTTCATTCTTTTTAGCTGATATTGCTAGCGCCTGCTTAACCAATAATATAATCCCTCATTAGACATGTTATGATTTCAATTTTTGCTTGGATTGGTGTTGTTTCTATCTTTGCAGTGCTTGAAAGATATGTCAATCCGTGGTCCTATACGCGTCAAGCGAATGGGAGAACTTGATGGGGAGCCATTCCTTCAAGCCTTGAGGAAAAAGTATTCCGAGGACGAAGCAGACGAGAAAGCGTCAGAGCTTTGTTCGCTTTGGGTAGAGTACCTCAAAGATCCAGATTGGCATCCTTTCAAAAGGGTTGTGGTTGATGAGAAGCATCAGGTGTGTGCTTTTTACGTTACTCTTCTAAGTTATCAAAAACTTGTTTCTCATTAGGTGTTCTTCTCCTAATTCAATTCATTTGTTTCAGGAAATAATTGACGAGGAAGATGAACGACTGAGTGGTCTGAAGAAGCAAGTTGGCGAGGAAGCCTACAAAGCTGTGGCGTCCGCTTTGATGGAGATCAACGAATATAACCCCAGTGGGAGGTACATAATTTCTGAAGTGTGGAACTACAAAGAAGGTAGAAGGGCGACCCTGAAGGAAGGGGTCACATTCCTGTTAGACGTGTTGGAGCGACGGAAGATGTGAATGCCGAACGGTACCTACCTGATACTGAAGCTGAACACCCATTTGAATGGTTCCTCATCTTTGTGATACTTAACCAGCACTGATAGTTCTCATCAGGAAACATCATTTTCATTTAACAGGTAAATGCCAAGGCGTCCAGGACACTGGGGAAGGGCGATAGAACTGCTAGAAACTTATCTGCTCGAGGTCAATCAGGTCATAAACGCCGTCGTGGCTGCTGCGTGTTAGTGTGTTGGTTGGAAATTTATCTTCTTAGCCTGAATGTTTCATGCAAGCATTCGGGTTGGTCTTTTCTGTACCTTGTTTAATAAAATTTTCCATGGATGATGATGATGTAGTCGACAAAAATTGGAAGAACTGCTGCGAGAGAGTAGTCCCGTATTCCTGGAAGTTCTGATAAGCAATGATGCTACGGTTACGCTTGGAAATATTGTGTTGTACTCTTTGTACATTTTTATTAGGACTGTTTCTGTTACTGAAGTGGAAGCTACTCTATTAGTGTCTAGAGGTAACCACAATTTGCAACAAGTGAAGAGCCCCGCGCCAACATGAATTTCTTAGGGCACCAAGACAGGACAGGTTATTTGGCGCACAATCAAACAACTAACATCAACATTTTCGATTTACAACCATGATGAAATGCAAATCACATCACGATGATCGCATAAAACGATAAATGAATGGTTACAGAGTAGACTCTCACGTCAACAATACATTAAAAGCAAACTGCTAGTTCATGGGATTGCTAATTTGCTATGCCATCTCTAATAGAGTAGAAAATTAGCCAATAGAAAGGGAGAAATGGAATGAGGGGTGCTCAAAGGCCAACCACATCCAACTGCGTTGGTCACAGTAACAGTTAGCAGGCCCATGATGGCCCATTGGGCTTTGCCAGAAAGAATTAGAGACCATTTGGTTCGCTCCTTGCTCGTCCAAGAGCAAGACCCAGACAACCTCGTTATCCACTTCCCATCAGACAAACGCTGTTGCTTTTCACTGTTCTCTCGTTAGTCCACCGAAGTTTCCAACGCGGTCGTCGGCGCGTCGAAATGCTCCAATCTTCGCCGTCTACCTAATACATTGCTTGGCATCTGGTTCTCTCCTGCCGGAGTCCGCCGTCATGGTGGCCGCGGCCTCACACGAAGAACACCGGAATTCTCATCCCTATCGTCAAATGTAGTCAAATTATCTGGAAGAGTAATTTTCTTGGTAAGATCCTGCTGATTTCATCGTCACGAGCTCGACTTCCCCCAATTCGAGTGAGCCTATTGAGTCAGCGATTCCTGGTCTGCTTTTAATTTTGGCTAGTTTGGTACTTGCGCATGCTCCAATTGGGTGCTTCTCGGCCGCCGTATGATCAAATCCAGTGCTTGGTTCAGTAGTTCTCTTCTTCGTAGATTGGATTTGCTTGCTTGTCCCTTAGGCCCTGTTTGCTTCTCGGGAAAATTCTCCTACGGTTGGCGAGGAAATGAAAAATTAGGATGGTATTTTGTCAGGAAAGAGATTGGAATGTCTCGTTTGTTTGCTTTCTTAGCTATGATGAGGCAATTGTTGAATCCTGGATGCTGTGATTTATTTTCTTCCCTGGTGTTAGGCTGAGGTAAAACCTAGCTCCTTCTTCAAGGTAGAGATCCTTATCTCCCAAGAATCTCTTTCCAATGCAGTTGCTTCTTAGTCTTCTCATAGAGATGCTAAACAATCTATAGGCGTGTCGCTTTCTCTTTGTGCCTTTCTCCGTTTATTTCTTGAATGGTTCGACCTTAGGTGTTAAGCTGATTACAAGTTTTTCAAATGCCTTATGGTTGTTATCATAATTGGAAATCAACTGCTGATTGCTTTACTGTGAGAATGAATTTAGTGGATTCTGTTTAGGGAACGTTTCATTCATTCCATTGTTTCTGTTCACTTTCAGGGACCTCTTTTGACAGATTGAAACAGGAGGGGAAGATGGAGCAGGATCCTCAGTGCAGTACAGATATAAGCGAGTCAGAAAGGGGTGAGTATGAACATCAGTGTTACGAAGAACTGAAGAACGGGAAATACAGGGTTGCTACTCCCGACGGGACATATTCTTGTCCATACTGTCCCAAGGGGAGTAGGCAAGACTATGCTTACATTGACATCTTCCAACATGCTTATGGAGTGGGCAAGAGTCAGTCAGCTAAAAGGACATGCAAGGAGAAAGCAAGTCACCAGGCATTGGCAAGGTACTTAGATAAAATCATTGGTGGTCCATTAGCAAAGCCAAATCTTCTAATTTATAATCTAAACAAAGAGAATATTCAAAATAATCGCACCGCCTCTTTTGCTTGCCCCTATTGTCCCGATAAGAAGAAAGATTACCTTTTCAATGAGATCCTCCAGCATGCTCTTGGTGTGGCAAATAGTGGCTCTGATAAAAGAACAAGTGAAGAGAAAGAAAATCACCTGGCATTGGCTAAGTACTTGGGAAAGCATATGCCAGGACCATCAGTAAAACAGAAAGTTAATGCTGCTCCAGAGAAAGTGAAAGTTGAAAATGGAGGTCCGTGTTCTTTTGCTTGTCCACACTGTTCCAAGAAGAGAAAGCGAGAAGACCTTTACAATATGTTCCTTAAACATGCTTCTGAAATGGGCATGACTAATTTCGCTAAAAGAGCTTGCAAGGAGAATGAATATCGCTCGGCATCGGTTAAAGACTTGGGGAGTGATAAAGCAGGCCCATCAGAAAGGCCAAAAGGTCAACACGATCCTGTAAATGGCTCCGACTATGACGATGCATTTGTCTGGCCTTGGACTGGTGTTGTGGTTAATATTCCTACCGCCAGGACAGCTGACGGGCAGCTCTTAGGCGAATTTAATGGATCAGAGTTTAAGGATGAACTTGTGAGTAGAGGCTTTAATCCCCTTGGAGTGCTTCCGCTGCACAATTATCAAGGTCATTCAGGAACTGCCATTGTAGAATTTGATGGAGATTGGCCTGGTTTATATCATGCTATTTCCTTTGAAAAGGCTTATGAGGCTGATTTTCATGGGAAGAAGGAATGGATTGCTAATAGTGAGGACAAGACAGGCATTTATTGTTGGTTTGCCCGTGCCGATGACTACCATGCAACCAACATAGTCGGGGAACATTTAAGAAGAACGACAGATCTTAAAACAATTCCCGAGATCATGGAAGTTGAGAATAAGATGCATGAAAAACTTGTCTTTAGTCTAAGGAATACTCTGAAGATGAAAAATAAGAAGTTGGAGGAGATGACTCTGGGATGCAAGGAGGCCTCAAGCATTCTCAAGAACTTGATGGAAGATAAAGAAATGGATATTCAGGCTTACAATGAAGGTTTGTCTCAGGACACTTGTTTCTATTCTCTCAGATTGCTATTGGAGCTCAATTTGTTTTTTTTTTTTTAACCTCTACCTGAAATTCTTCTTATTTACTCAGTTGTTGTTTCCAAATTCTAGAGATACAAAAAATCCAGGCAAGTGCACATGATCACTTCCAGAGAATTATTAATGACCATGAAAAGCTTAAGTCACAGGTGGAAGCTCAGAACAAGGAGCTTGAGATACAAAGGTTAGAATTGGAAAAACGAGCAACGAAAATCGAAACAGACAGAAGAATGATGTTGCAAGAGATTGAAAAAGTATGTCGTGCGCTGATCTACTTGCATGTCCATACTACACTTAATATTTTGGTTTCCTGCTTAGTAGCTCTAAGACTCAGCATGTGTCATGAATGATTAGCCATTATGTCTTCAAGGAGTTTCAAGACTAGATGTTGTCACTTAGCGGTTTAGGTTCTTGGTTTAGCAGATTGTTGTGTTGCATAGATGCTTTTAACAAAGATATTTCATCCAAGTTTGCTGTTGCTATTTCCTAGCGCTTAGTGTGGGTATAAAAAGATAGTGAAATGCATGCCTGTGGTTTTTCCTTTATGGCTCTCTACTTATTGTCTTGGCCCCATCAGAAAGCAGGCAGAAGTCGCTTGCTCCAGACAGCTCACTTGAATGAACCGACTACAAGCGAGGATTTGTTGAAATTATCTGAGGATCTGAAGGTTTCTCACTACTTTCAAAATGCTTCCAGATTTGTCATTGGCAAACAAACCTGCAATTGTGATTTACTGGTTTTATTAATGATTTTAGGAGGAAAAGCAAAAGCTTCACACTAGAATCATTCATCTGGAGAAGCAACTGGAAGCAAAGCCCAATCTCGAATCAGAAGTAGTGCAACTTAGAGGTGCATTGAATGTGACGGGGGAGAATGGCGAGGCGGAAATTCTGGAGCAGGTGGATGTGATACTGAAATGTTCGAGAGAACAGGGAGACGAACTTGACAGCTTAGAAGCAATGAATCAGACTCTTATTGTCAGGGAGCGGAAGAGCAACGACGAGTTGCAAGATGCCCGTAAGGAGTTGGCTAATGTGAGCAACATATATCACTGGAATCTGTAACCTTTCTTTTTTTACCTTAGTTAAGCCTGAGTTAGCAAATTGCCATCTTATGTTTGCTGTTTCCTTGTGTTGGTGTTGTTCATCTTTGCAGTGTTTGAAAGAAATGTCTACATACAGTGGTGATATACGTATTAAGCGTATGGGAGAACTGAACAGCAGGGCATTCCTTATAGCGATGAAGAGAAAGTACAACGGGGAAGAGGCTGAAGTCATGGCAGCAGAGCTTTGCTCGTTGTGGGGAGAGCATCTGAAAGATCCCGATTGGCATCCTTTTAAAGTTGTAACAGTTGATGGGAAGCATCAGGTATGAGCGACAACACTTCAGTGTTTACATAAACTATGTTCTTCTACTATATCCTTAAAGAAATGTTGTGTAGCATATGTGCTGAATTCATTCAATTGATCGATCGAGTTTCAGGAAGTAATTGATGAAGAAGATGAAAGATTGAAAGGACTGAGAGAAGAGGTTGGGGAAGAAGCTTACGAAACGGTCGCTTCGGCACTAACGGAGATCAATGATTATAATCCCAGTGGAAGGTACATGGTTTCTGAGGTGTGGAACCAGAAAGAAGGTAGAAGGGCGTCCTTGAAGGAAGGGGCAGCCTTCCTATTGGATGTACTTGAGCAAGGGAAAGGGTTGCTTTGAACGAAGGAGAAATGCACAGTTTTCTTTGCGTTAAGATATGGAGGATTGGCTCGTGTTCAGTTCATGATGTGGTTTTTAACCGTCGCCGGTCGCCGGTGAGTTTGTGTCTTCTCGGCCGGAGAGGTGGCTTATCATTGAGGCATTTTCCCCGGCGGCGGTGTTGATGTAGAGAACATTTCACTTGAATGATGAAATAATGGATGTATTGTGATTAGAAGAAACACAGATAACAACGTGTTTGTCTGTGTATGTATTGTTCCATTGTGTACCATGCTAAGTTTAATAATAGGGTCATATTACCATTCTACTGATTTTGGTAATGGATACTAATGCCTGAATTTGGGGAGGCTTGAGATTGGATGATTGGGTAACCATAGACAATGGTAGATTAAAAGTAATCAAATGCTACCGACCTCGACAAATAGTCAAACTGTTGATAAAGGGCATTGTTAGTTACTAAATGGACAACCATGTTAAACCTGCGAAAGGTAAAAGTGCACGAGCTGTGGGAGACATCCTTCTCCCAAATACTACACTAAGGTTTGACAGCCATAGCAAAGTTTGGTAACAATGTTCGAGGGAAAGAGCAATCTAGAATAAAGAATCAATTATTATTAAATCATATTGAAGAATATGTCGAATTAATTAGCATTATAGTACTTTTAACTTCATTCGTGATTTAACTGTGGTACAAACATTTCATACTTTCATATTACTAACTAGTAACTACCCTATCAATTTAGCCTCTAAAAAGGTAAAAAGAGGGCTTTCCGAACTGATACGGTGCGGTTCATAAATAACGAAGCAACTAGAACAAATATCTACAGTTGAGTCGCAGTGTTTCGTAGGCGTCGTCTCCATCTCCGTCTTCCTCGCTCCTCAGTCCACTGCTGTACTGATCAGAGTTCCCGGAGAAGCTCCCGAGTTCATCAGGTGAGTCCCATTGTTCAACGGAGCTCACCTTCATATTTGTTACTTAAGCGAACGGAATCTTGATTTTGGAGGTCCGCCGCTGCGTCCTTCGTGGAGACTGATTTTTATTAGTTCCGTTTTTAGTTCCGATTGTTGTTTGGCAAGCCGGAAAATGAAAGGAAATGTGAGAAAGGAGGGAGGAGAAGTTTCGAGAAACGTTGTATTTTGCTTGTGCAAATCACTGAAAAACGAGCGCTGGCAAGATCAGAAAGATCGGCTGGCATGCTGGGAATTGAATCACGAGTCGGATGATTTTCCTTCTCAACTTCTGCAGTTTTCCTGTTTGTCCCCAAAAATTTCCGGCAACCAAACGCCGGGTTTCATGAATTTCCCGTCGCTAGTGCAAGACGTGATGATAGGTTCTTCAGGAAAAGAATCCTTTGAAGAGCTCTTAGTGTGTTGTGAGTTATTCAACTGGGTAATGTGATTTCATGGATTGATGTTTTGTCCATACCTCCTGTTCTAGTTCCAAAATGGCAGGCTACAACACCATTGAGGAACTCAGGAAAGCTGGGAGCCTGGTGGGGAACCTTGCAAGGACGATTGACTGCAAAAACAAGGATTTAAGGGAGTTAGAGAACAAATACGACAAGGTTATGAGGGAAAATGCTCGTCTTCTTCAAGCACAAGCTGAAGGTAATAAAGCAATGTGGGTACTAATATTGTTTTGTTTGACATCTTTCTGGACAATTTTGAGCCTCTTGACTTGCCATTCCTGATCACCTTCATCCCTACAACTGTCTGAGTTTTCATCTTGGGAATGCAACTCAATTGTTTCTCTTGATTTCATACTTTGTTGATTCTGATGATTCCTAGGTACCAAGGAAATTCAGCTTCTGAAGGCTCAAAACAAAAGTCTGCAACAAAATCTGGATTCTCAGAGGATTGAAATCCAGATGCTAGAGTGTCAAGTTGCTCGCGGCAAGATTGAGAAAGAGCAGGTAGCCGCCATAACATTTGATTGATCTATCAGCTGATTGACATTCTGCACAAAGCGGAATTTTGTTGCCCTAGATTTCAGTCTCCCTATGAATTGGTTATTTAGCTTCTCTGAGGTTTCTGTGTTGTTAAGATAAAGAAGGGTGCATGCCCTGTGATCAAACTAACATGAGCTGAAATTGTTGAAGGCAAAACTGGCCCCAGAAAGTGGTGAGTTGAAGAAACAGCTGGCAGAGAAACAAGGGGAATTGCACTCACTGGAAGAACTTAACAACACTCTGATTGTTAAGGAGCACAGATCTAACTCCGAACTGCAGGCTGCTCGGAAAGAATTGATAGATGCAAGTGCAGATACATCCAACTCCATCTCATTTGTGCAGCTAGTTGTTAAGGTGGGGATTGCCTGTGGCTTTAATGATGTCTGACCAGTTATTTTGCGATACAGGGGTTGCGTGATTTCTTGGATGATCAGAGCGGAATTGGGATTAAGAACATGGGAGAAGTCAATCCAAAAGCTTTTGAAGAAGTTTGCTTGAAGAAATTCCCTGTGGAGTCTGAGGCAAGATTGATGGGGATCTGCTCATTGTGGCAGTCTCAAGTTAATAACTCAGAATGGCATCCCATCAAGCTTGCACTTATTGATGGCAAACATCAAGTAAAAGAAGCTTCCTCTCTTCCTTAACTTTCTGAACTTCTAGTTGTTTGCCATTCGTCACCAATCTACCGGTACTTAGGCATAGGTAACCTGGCAGATGTAATGCCTTAATCTTTAAAGGGCAACATGGTGCTGAATGTAAAATGCTCTGACCCAAATATCTGACCTCTTGGCTCTGAACTCCAGGAAGTGATAGACGAGGATGACCCAGAACTGAGGAAGTTGAGGACGAAATGGGGCGAGGGGCCTTACAATGCAGTAGCGAATGCATTAATGGAATTGAATGACTACAACCCAAGTGGAAGATATGTAGTTCCTGAACTCTGGAACTTCGAGGAAGGAAGAAAAGCCACGCTACAAGAGGCAATAAAGTCTGTATTTGAACGAGCGAAGACCTTCAAATCTCCAAAGCGAAAGAGATCACAAAGCAGCAGCTTGCAGCTAGTTTAAATTTCTCTTTGAACAGGTTGTAGATGTCCAGACTGTCGCTCCCACTGCATTTATATACCACTGTAGCTCTTTCATATGTTGCCTTGACTCCAGACTTCAATATTGTAACTTAGCTGTATCGTTAGTCATTAACCACAAAGGATGAAGGCAATAGCCAAGAAGGAGAGTTTTGTCTGATAATGGGTACAAATTGATCTCTTGCCATTGTCCTATGTATTGTCTGAAGCTCTCTCTATAGCAATGGTGTACTGATGCTTCATATCTATATCTGAGACCAGCCTAGTGATGCTTCATATCTATACATGAGACCAGCCTAGTATCCAACTAATATCCACAATCATCCAACTAATATCCACAATCATGAATCAACCAACTAGTATTCAATATGAATACTATTATGGGTTATTTGGATACTCTTATGTGTTATCTGGATACTAATTATGTGTTGTTTAGATACTATTCTGTGTTGTCTAGATATTAGTTTGTGAATTTGGGATAATAGTTGATTCATGGTGGATATAAGTTAGCAAACTTTGAATATTAGTCTGTGCTCTCTAGATATTTTAGTATTTGGATATTAGTTCATATATTTTGAATATCAGTTAATATCTGCTAACGAATCTTCAAGTTAGCAGATAACTTTTCCCTGCTAGACAAGTAAACAAATGCTGCAAATAACACCATAGTGGAAATTTCGATTCATGGGCTTTAAATGGAGTCCATTAAGCCTCTAGATCCAAAATCACTGACTGAAAGTCTGAAACCCTACTTTGGAAAATATCAGGCCCAGCCCAACTTCAATTAAGGTTTAAACTTTAAACCCTACTCCTCCTTCTCCAATGCTATTAAGCTTGACGGCCACACGAGACGTATCCCATCCTTCCTCCTCTTCCTGCCGCCATTAGGGTTTCCACAATGCTACCGCTTCTCTTCGTGTTTGTTATTTATATCCTGCAATCAGTTTCTTGGGCAGTGATCGAAAAGAGAGAGGCTTGAGTGGGGATCTTCTGATTCTAAAGAGAGGGAAAATCCTGTTTTACTTTGAAGGGTTGAACTCGGAGATGGCGAAACGAGCTGTAGACGCCGCCACTCTTTCTGTATAAAGAATGAAGCTTTTGGTGTCTCTCCGTTTCCGCTTTCCTCCGTTAGTTTTATATCCCTTCAATTTTGAAATGGGGTCTCATTTTTCCTCTCCCGCTGTGACGGTCCTATTAATCTATACACTTGATATGAGCTCTATGATTGTTGTTTTCTTTTGTACATGCTAGGTGTTCGGTAGAAGTCTTGTGGATTGTTGGGATCTACTTTGTATCGCATTTGTTGTTTTTTAATGTGAGGAATCAGCCTTAGGGTAATTTAGTTGTGGTTCCTTGCTGTGGCGACGATGCACACATAGAAAGCTCGGTTCTTTCTTTGTTCTCCTCCATAGGGAAGCTCTCGAGCTGTTGGCCCTTTTGGTTGGCGAGCAAGGTCTGTTATCGGGCAGCGGCCAGACAACCGTAGGGATGGTATCCACAGATGGCGGGTTCCTAGATCCCGTTTGTCTACTGATTCCATCTCACATTTTCCTTATAATAAAGTTTATACTCAATATCCTCAACTGGTTTTCTTTCATGTTGGATGAGTCATTTATTAGGGTTTTCCCCCCTTTTTCCCGACTGTCGACTTTTCCTGCTGTGGCAGAGATAACTTGTTTCCTTCGTATTTCTGTCCCAATGATGCGATTGATGTTTTTATTAAAGTAGTGGACTGATTATTCGTGTTGATGAACTTCATTTCTGAGGGAATTGCTCGATTTTGTGTTATGAGGAGAGCTGCTCCTCTCTTTCCCACAACTTATTCTGAAATTCTGGCGTTATTGCTGTTAATCTTTTAATCAGGTGATGAATACGGATTTCATATCTCACGACGGTCGTCTGAGACACTTGAAAAGGTGTTGTTGCTGATTAATCCATTATTCTGATGATTCTTTTATCATAATTCTAAATAGTTTTTGTCAATTACTCGAATCAGTTTATTGCCTCTTTCAACTATGTTTGATTACTATAGTAAGTGCATACAATTTCCAATGTTTGGGTTTTGCTAATTTTGCTCCTGGTCTACAGACAGGACTGTCTTCTCTAATGACTTCATATATGTATTGTTTGATTCCTGCCTGCCTGTTTTTATTTTGTAAGAATGAAGAACAGCTGGGCTATCGTTTACACAATTTGTAGATTGTCATCTATAAATCTTTGGATTTTGTCATTGAGATGATTATACTGTTCTATCCTCATAGCGCGATGGAGAGCTTTGTTGGGAAGGAATTCAGTGCCATTACTTTGTATTGGATTAAAGGCCACATTTGATTTGTGAGATTATTAAATTGTGTCATGTTTAGTTAGAAAAATTTAATATTAATTTTGCTCACTTGAATTATTGGCATAGATCACATTTGTTTACTCTATGGTTAGCTTCGTCCAATTCCAGTCTTCAGTCACTCCATAACATGTAACATTTAGGCACTCGAATTATTGAAGTAGCTCATATTTAGTCACTCTACTGAAATGGAGATGGACGGAAACTAACAAGAGAGTGGGAAAAAATCCTAAAGTACACACGTTCTTAAAAAAAATTCCCAAAATACATGAGTTATAAAAAAATTTCCCAAAGTACACATGTTTGAGCATCACCGTTTTAGACAAACGCGGTGAAGATCATCACCGCGTTTGACCAACACGGTGAATACTTCATCGTTTTAAACAAAGACGGTGAAGTATTCACCGTTTCAAACCAAAACGGTGAAGTTTTCACCGCGTTAATTAACAACGGTGAACACATCACCGTTTTGGTCAACAACGGTGATGATCTTCACCGTTGTTAACTAACACGGGACCGACACTTGCCCCGCATTCAACGGTGGATGCCCCCGTCCTTGATTTGGTGTGGTGGTTGGCATGTCGAAGCCCAAACGATCACGGATGAGCGGCCCCCAACCTCCTCCGGGTTTGGTCGTGTTCCCAATGATGGCATCTCCAGATATAGGAAGCCCGGTGAGGATCGCCACGTCTTTGAGGGTGATCGTCATTTCCCCCTCCGCAAGGTGGAATGTATGGGTTTCGGGACGCCATCGTTCCGCCATTGCCGTAAGCAGATCGTTGTCGATCTCGATCCGCAAGAAATGGCGCAACATTCCCAAACCGGTCCTCGCTATATAGGGCTCCAACCTTGGATGCCAAGCGGGCAAGTTATTGGTCCCTTTATGAACCACGGGAACAAGAGATTCCTAAAAAAAAAAAAGGAAAAACATCAATTTATTAGATTAAATAAAGCAAAATGAAACATTAGAAAATAATAAAATAAAGCAAGTCAGTTCATCAAATTACCGGATTGTTATCCCAAATGGCACGGGAGCGATGCATTTCTTGATCGGCTAAGAGACTCGCATCCCTTGGGCCATAATGGATATACAATCGAGGATCGTATATCTCGGCACCCATATATAAAAAAGTAATGAAATCAGAGATTGTTTTGATAAAAAAAAAAATCAAATTGTTTCGATTAAAAAAATCACAAACCAAAAACCTACACGAAGAGCCTCTTCGTCCATTATTGGCGGAAGCCGGACAGAGGTTCGACGGGTTTAGCTTTGTAAGGGACGGGAACTTAGCGGGACGGGGGCTTTAGGGTCAAACTCTAGTAATTCTTTCTGATGTGGAAGATCGGACTTAGCCGCAACCACAGAGCATACTTAGAACGAGACTAGAGCGGATAAATTGAGGGAGAAAGAAGTGAAATGTTTGTGGGGTGAGTTGAAAGTGAAAGGGGAAGGGGGTATTTATAGTTGGGGGAAGGGGGGGAGGAGCTGCTGCGCAGTAAATGTGGGGGAGCATTCACCGCGTTTGAAGAACGCGGTGAAGGACTGGCATTCCCCAAAACCGGTTCCCCGTCCACGTGGCTTGCTGTGAGGCGTCGGATCGTGGGAAGAAAACCACGATCCGCGCCTCACCGCATCTAACGGCCACGGTGAAAGCACACTGAGGCGGATCGCTGACGTGGCAGACACGGGTTCTTCACCGTGTTTGTCTAACGCGGTGAATACCCCGTGTCTGCCACGTCAGCAACTTCACCGCGTCCTAGAAAAACGGTGAGAGTGACTAAATTGACTTGTTTTAGTATTTTGAGTTATCAAAATTAATATTAAATTTTTCTAGTGAATAAAAATGATACAATTCAGTTATTTCATTGATTAAATGTGGCATTTACCTGTTTGTATTGCGCTGTACTGCTTCTATTTCTATACCCTTGACAACAAACCCTACGGATAATTATGGGTGGCGTTATTGGCCGTTTTACTATGAATCCAGATATGTAAGTGATTGGTTACATCTTACTATGAGATCAGTAATCTTTGGTTGTATCACCTCTTGATTCCATGTACTCCTTGCTAATAGGATTTATACACAAGCAATTTACTGTGCGACCACTGTCTTACTTTGTCAAGATCCTGCATTCATGATAAAACAGCTTGAATGAAATCGTTTACTCACTGTGTCATTTGTATGATTAACGTTTTGTGTTGAAGACATGAAACCGTACCGGAGATGCCATATCTCTGTCAATGGATGAGTTGTTGATGGCCAATTTCAGGGTCGAGGGAATTGGAGTTGAGTTCGGAATCATTTGCTGGCAGCTTTGGAAACAAAGAAATGAGGAAATGGTGGATGGCCGTTCTTTCTCTTGAGATGGTTTAACTGTCAGAATTAATGCATTGTTCACCATTGTTTGCCAGGCCATTTGTAATGACCAGAAGCTTAAGTATCTGAGCCATGGTAATCGGAGTATTATATTTACACAGGTGGGCTGGCAGCCGCCTCATGATGACTGGATTCAGATCCAAGCAGACGGTTCTGTGATCACGCAGAGTGGAAGTGTACCTGCATCAAGCTCCAAAAGATTGTACCGGAAAAGTCAGCAGTAGGATATTTTATAACAAAATCGTGGTGTAATCGTAGTTCAACCGTTAGTACCTTTAAATGTCGCCTACCGGTTTAGCCTCCGATACTGGTATTTCGTGGTTGAACCTCTTCTGCCTTGAATAGGATGTTGTTGTGTCCCATGTTATTAGAGAAGCAAATTGGGTCACCGATTCTTTGGCAAGTAGTCATGAGTGTAATTTTGGTACACATATGTTCGATGTGTGTGACCAAAACCTTGGTCAATGATTTTTTTTAGTGAAAGGGTGCAAAGCACCGGAACTTCAATTAAGAAATCGAACGGACGGTCCACATAGCCAATGGCCAATATAAGGATCATTTGGATCAATGACATGGGTACACGGACCAAGAGAATGTCTCCTTGATCAATAATGCCATGATGTCACGGTATAACCCAAAAATGTCTTATTAATTCATACGAGTTAAGCGTTATTGCGCCAGTTTCCTACCAAGAAAAATGCTCTGCATCCGATCTACTGTTCCCTTTGCATATGGTGAAGAATTTGTAAGCTTGCATTCGTGTAAAGCCTCACGATTTCCAACACTATAAGAACACTCTAACATAACCTTGTAAGAACCATAGAAGAATTAGACTTCCACTTTGCTAGTTGCTAGTAGTATATATAAGCTGCGGGCTACATCATTCAGCTTTTTGTCAAATGTGAAGCCACTTCAGCTGTATTAGTAATACAATTTCACCCCCCCCCCCCCCCCCCCCCCCCCCCCCATTCTTTTACTTTCACTCTTTTACCCCACCAAAAGACCAAAAAGAGACAAACACACCCCCTCTAACACAACAAAGTCAACACTTCCCCTCAAAAGAGGAAAGCAACAACATGAACATGACAAAAAAGCAAAAAGAAACCCTCATTTCTTTCCCACTGCCCCCCATTTCCATCCACCAACACTAGTAAATACCAATCCCGACACAAATTAGTCGTCATTGATCAGAATCAAACCCTGAAGTTCTTGCCGGAGAAAGTCTGGCCGAACTGCCAGTTAGAAGGCACGATGTTCCATGAAGTCGACGTCCGACGGTCGCTGCCGGTGACCCTGAAAGAGAGCGACTGGCCGGCGAGAACGGCATTGGATTGCCAGTTCTGACCCCAATTCCTGCTCATGCTCATCCAGCTCGTCTTCGAACCTTTCACCCACACCTTCACTATGTCCCCTGCACCCGCCACGTTCGTCACCAGAACCAGGTTGAAGTACTTGAACCCGTTGATCGTGAACCTTATCCCTCCTTGCTTCCTGCACGGCACCCTGCAACAACAAATTTTCGCCTTTCGTCAAAATCGCAATTCTACATAGAACGGTTTGTTGCTCTTCATAACGCTTTCGGATTAATAGGGTTTGAAGTCAACTTTGAGCGTGTTCGCTCTGTCCAATTACACCTTTATAATAATGCAATCGCATTCTCTGGTCAATTGCTGTTTTTGTTTCTGTATTCTAATTTATCCACTAGGTCTGTCTGGTTAGATTTTTGTACCAATTTTGGTGTATTATTTTGGTGACTTAAAAATGTAAAAACGTTTTAAACCACGATTTTGACTACATTGACACGAATAATAGCATATCGGGTTATATACAGGACAACAAATAAACAAACGGGGAAACACCAAGTCAACCTTCTGATAGTGTCAGAAAATTGTACCAAACACAGAGAGAGGCCAATCATAATCTGCTGAATACTTTTTTGATTCCCACATTCTATGGGGATCCACAGACGGATTTTCTCAAATGGGCACAATCCAAGATCGATTTTTTATTAAAAAAGGGATAAACTTTGTTTCGATTGGAGATGAATGGAAGTGTTGAGTAATAACAGAGCGAGGTGGGACTCACCGGCGGTAAGAGACGGGGACGATCCCGGCGCGGTACTGGGCGAGCTTGAGGAACATGGGCATGGCGAGGTCGAAATGAGGGCGGGGAGGGTTACACCACCCGCCATTGTCGCTGGCCTGGGCGAAATTCGGAGGGCAGAAGTTGGTCGCCGTAATGAAAATGGAAGGGCTCCCCTGATGGCACCACTGCGGGTCGTTGGCGCATTTCATCTCGAAGCAGGCCCCGCAGCTCAGCCCGTTGTTGAACAGCGCCGTGCTCAGCGCCGCCGTGTTGACCCCGTACCCTTGGCTGTACAGGTTGCCGTACCCGCACGCGCCGCCTGCAAAAAAAGCAATGTGGGTCAGAAGAAGAAAAAACAGAGCATCGGGAAAAAAACAGGGGAGGGAGAAGAGAAGTGAAAGTGATGAGTTTTTGTTTTTTGTTTTTGTCAAGTACCCATTGTGCCGGAGGCGTCAGAGCCGCCGTAGAAAGTGGCGTGGGCGGACTGCCAGGCGCCGCCGCCGTAGTTTCCTGGGATTCTGGCATCCACGTTGATGAGAAGGAAAAGCAGAGTCGAAAACAGAGTAGACAGAGCAGAAGCTGCCTTCATTGTCATATTCCTCTGTTTTCACCCCTTTTACAGACTGCTCTTCTTCGTTTTGGTTGGAGGTGGAGGGAAGGAATCGGATGAGGGGTATTTATGGAGGAGCGGCTGAGTGGAAGGTAAAGTAATTGCGAACAAAAGAAAGGAAGGGAAGAGAGACAGACACATGAAAAAAGGGGAAGAAGGAAGGGGAAATGAGACGACGCAGTTATCGCTCCGCAATTGATGCTTCTTTTTTGCATTTTGGTTCCTTTTTTAAACATTACGCACTCTTTTTTTCGTAACTGTTTATCAATTATCATGTCTAAACGTAAGGGAAAGCTGTAACCAGTTGATTACTAAGGATAATGATTAGTAGTTCTTCAACCTCGGTCAAAGGTCAGCTCTTTTGGGGGTTTATGGGTTGACTAATTTGATCTAATTATAACCTTAGCTACCGAAATTTTACAGCTTGTACCCAAGATCAAAAGCTAGCAAGACGTAAAAAGGGTCATTTAGATAGATCAATTGCAAAACGAAACAATTGAGCTAATTGTCTCGTTTCACAAAACGAGTCATTTCGAATTACTTGTCCCCACCTCAGATAATTGTAATTGCCTCAAAATTGAGTCAATTAAGAATTCTCCAGGCCAAACTGCTTCGTTCAAATTTTCTGCTACCGAACAAGTCAAATCCCGTTTCACAAAACGAGACAATTGTGTGAGATTGACCCACTAGAATTACTCATCCAAACGACCCCCAAAACTAGTTATATGTATGAAGGTAAAAAGCTGGATTCGAATATGAGATCTTTCTCATACGAGCTCAACACGTTAATCACCTGAAATACAATCTTGTCATATTGTTATCATATGAGCTAATCGATACAAGTGAGTAGTAGTATGATATCGTAGAAATGATTGATTGTTATCACACATTCTCTCATTTAGGGGTTGGTTGGGGGAGGACCTTGCTTCATTCGCAAGTTGGTGCTAGTAATTGCAAATCACTTTTAATTTGTCCCCCCACCCTGCAACGGCAACGCAGTCTCTCACTTTTTTCCAGATTTTTTGCAACCCCACTGTTTTTTTTTTTTTTTTACTATTTTGTTCTCCGATTTGAAATTTTCCGGACAAGTGAAAGGTGGTGGGCGGCGGGCCTTCAATTTGATTTTGTATGGTTGAATGGACGGCGGAGTGTATCGGAAGTTGGATTTATTTTATGCGCAAGCATGGCGTCAGTCTTGTTAATGCCTGGAGGCAACGCAACCAAGCCAAAGCTAGCAGAGAGATAAGGCGACTCGGGGACCAAGAATCGTGATCGGATATGGATGGAGGAGAACACTCTTTGTAGTTTGTGATTTGGCCATTCAAATGCCTAGAGAGAATCAGCTTATCTCCTTTAACTATGAGAAAATATCAAGTATGAATCTCTACAATTTTTGCTGAAATGAAAATTAATTCATGATTTTTTGTTTTTGTTTTGCACGTATATATTATATGTTTAAATGAGTTTTTGTTATTTGTAGTTATTGGGATTTGGACCGTGGAAGTTTGGATCAAATACTCTTATGTCATCTGTATAATTATCACTTCACTCGATAACTTGAACGGTTGGAAATTTTCAAAAGGGTTTAACATCATAAGATAAATGTCACGTCATTGAAATTTGTCTCAAAGAGTATTATCTAACAGAGTGGAGTAAAGTAATGATCGGAAGTGAGAGTGTAGATCCGAATTTTGCAAGGGTAGCTAGTGTCACAAGCAAGGCTATAGTTTACCACTACAATCATCCATTAAATGAAAAGAGATCCAACCCTACCGTCACATATTCATTCATTACGAACAATATATATCCCATAGGTTGCCAATGTCACAAATAGATGGATTATGATACAAGAAAAGAAGAATACTTTTCAAAACGACAAGGATAATATTCGTCGTCATACGTAAAATATGTCCGAGAGGTATTTAAAGGATAAGTAAAACTAATGTTTAGAGGGGTAATGGCAATCCAAATGTGAATGTGCCTCGATCCAAAGGTAAAGCTAGACTGCTCAACAGTAGCGTAGGAAAACAAGTGTAGTGTGTACTCCTAGTAGCTAGTCGCTAGTCTAGCCATTATCCACTGATACCCTTATTCTTCTATGTCAGCAGCGCGAATTCGGTATTGAGTAGAGTATTGAGCCACATTTTGAAAAGAGGTAAAGTGGGTTGGGACGTAGCCCGACGAATACTTAAACAAATATCGGAAATAAAAAATTTACAAGTGCTATACTCAGTGGCGGATTCAAAAAAATTTCACAGGGGTGTCCTCTTCAAAAATTAAATTTAATTATATAATAAATTAAATAATTCGTATATTAAAAATATCATACTTGTATAATTTGTATGAATTTTTTATTAAATAATAAATTAAAATTCATATTTTGAAAAAATAATATAAATAAACTCTGTGTCTGCATTGTTCAAAAAAAATCTACATATCCTACTAGACAATACTTCACGAACTTATCACATATTCGATTTCTAACCTTGTTCTTAATGTAGCTCAAAGTAGAAAAGACTCTTTCAACACTTGCCGTGTAACCATAAAATCAATTCAAAATTAAGGTAGCGTGTACGTAGTTTAATTATTAGGTATTGAAAATAGTTGGGGATAAATAAAATAGCATTTTACGGTTGCATGATGTTTAAAATAGAATAACAAATGAGTAGCAACATAATTAGAATATGTTATTACCATTGCACGTGATGTCCTGTTTCAGGCTTCCCCTTTCGCTGTGTCGTTTGCTGGATAAGCATGTGGCAAGGTTCTGGTGGGGTGCTGAAGAGGGTCATCCGAGAGTCCGGTGGATGTCTTGGAGGAATATGTGCCGGAGTAAGCATGAAGGAGGAATGGGGTTTCGCCGGTTTGAGCATTTTAACCAAGCTCTTCTGGCTAAGATTGGGTGGCGTCTCCTTCAGGAGCCCCAATCCCTTCTGGCGCAGGTCTACAAAGGGAAGTATTTCCCGCAGGGGTCCTTCCTTTCAGCAACGGCGCGGTCTCGTCCTTCTTGGGGGTGGCAGAGTATTCTGTATGGGCGCCAGTTGTTGGTGGCAGGGCTCCGATGGCAAATTGGGGACGGGCAGTCTGCTTCCCTCCTCCACTCGAACTGGATCCCTCAATTGCAGCTTGATCCGCCCCGCTATAATCCCCAGATCCTTCCTGGGGGGGGGGGGGGGGAGATCCGGTGGTGGCAGAGGTGATTGAGCCGGCAGGGGGCCGGTGGTGTGACCGGAAATTGAGTCAGTGGTTTGACCCGCCTACTTGTGCGGCCATTAAAGCCATCCCTCTTCCGCGGTTGCCAGTAGCGGATAAATTGGTTTGGCATCATACTCCAGAGGGCATTTTCACTGTGAAGTCGGCTTACCACCTTGCCGTTACCCTAGATAGGCGCCAGGGGTGCTGGAGGTCAGAGGTTAGCTGGATGGATAAGACTAGTTGGATCAGGCTGTGGGGGGCTAACCTGCCACCGAAATTGAAGGTGTTTGTTTGGCAAATACTTAATCGCATGCTTCCTACGACTGAAGCTCTCATTGCCAAAGGTGTTCCGGTCTTACCGAGGTGTCCGGTGTGCTGGGCGGAGTCAGAAACCTTGGAACACTTATTCCTTTTCTGCCCGGTCGCTCGGGCGCTCTGGGACTATTCGGGGCTGGCTTCCCTAGGGGAAGGGCTTCCCCAGCACACTTTTCCCCTGTTTCTTAAACGGTTGATGGCGCTGCTCACTCAGCCACCCGCTATCATGGCAGTTGTGGCTGTTCTGTGGCGAATCTGGCGTTCGCGCAACTGGGTTGTATTTGAGGGCAAGCAGTATGGGTTTCCGGCGTTGTTGCGTCAATACAATCAGCAGTATGAGGAGTGGGTTGGTCTGCCTGTGGATCGCCACCCTCGCTCTGCGGCTGTTCCCATATCCCAGCCGGTGCCAGAAGGGGGTGATAGGTTGGTTTGCATGTGGGATGGGGCTACGAGGCGTGGGTCTCATGCAGCTGGGGGTTTTGCCTTATTGACGCCGGATCGAGAAGTCCTGAGGGCTGGCGGAGTTCAATTCCCAGGGATCGATGATCCCACTATAATAGAGGCGTTGGCGCTCAGGGAAGCTATCGTATGGTGTCAGAATCAGGGGTTGATGGAGGTATGTTTTGAGGGTGATGCCAAGGTCATCATTGATAAAATCAACCAGGCAGATGCTAGTGATAGTCGGGTAGGGGCTATTCTTGCTGAAATTATTCACCACCTGGGGGTTAGACCAGGGTTTGTTGTTAGATTTGTAGGTCGGAGTAACAATAGGGTAGCCCATTTGGTGGCTCGGAAGGCCCTCTCTTTGTACCCGAATGCGAGTCGTTCCTTTGATTTTCAGGCCTGGCTGTTCTCCAGGGTGTAACTATCTTTTGTTCTGATCAATGAAGATTATCTTTTGTCAAAAAAAAAAAAATTAGAATATGTTTGATAATAGTAGTGTCCTAGGTTGGAATAACACGGACTACCACTTATATTTTGTTAATCATAAGCAAACTATTATCGAGGATAGGATAGTCATTTTTTCAATTATATTTTGTATACTCATACGAAACTACTACCGGAGGTTGGAGAATCATTTCCCCAAATTTTAGGGGTGTCGGCCCATGTACCCGCCCCTGGCTATACTAGCTCAGATCCAGAGAAGAGCTGGGCCGTGATCCGATGACGCCCCTAGTTCCGCCGCTGTTCTATGTGTACTTTTTTGTAGTGAAAGTTAGTTTTCAGAACACTATCTACTCCTTACTTTTGTTCTTTGGCTGGAGACGGAGTTGCTTCCAGTCTTCCACCCCCAGAAACAAATCTTTTTTTTTTTTTTTTTTTCAGGCGGGAAGCAGAACCACTAGCCCGACCCAGCCATGTTACCCGCCAAGTTGAAAATTTTCGCGACCAAATCAACTCCTCGACCGAAGAAAAAGGGAGCAAAAGGGAAAGAATAAAAATCAACTTCATTTCCCTCTACTTGCTTTGCATGCAGAATTGCAGATGCAGTTGTAGTGGGTGGGCCCCGAGTTATCCGCGCGCGCAGTGATCGGCACGGTATTCC